CCCTGCCACACCGCAGCCCCGCGTGTTTATCCCTGTTGCGCCCCATGAAGAGAGAAGTGGCTACTGCTGAAGAGACTCACAGCTGTGAGGACAGGTGCTTGGCCAGGGTGCCCCAGTGGAGACCCCAACCATCACCAGGCCCTCTCTGACCAAGTGCAGGCCTTCCACATGCTTGGCCAGCAGGCAGAAACGCACACATGAACTTCATGTCTGCCTGTGTGAAGTTCAAGAGAATATGCCGAGTCCAGGCTGGGAGGCAAAGAGGGACACAGAGGTGTGGTGGGAGGATTGCTTGCTAGAGGCGTGGCTGATGAAGAAGACCACACCATCGGCTCACCCTGGGCACCACCGGGGACCCTCCTGCCCCTGCCCCTCCTCCAGACACCCCAGGCCTGGGAGGACCCGCCCAGGGGGCGAGACCACCTCACCTCCTTTTGGAGGCTCGTGGTCTTGGGTTCGTCGCTCTGGATGGACTTCTCATCTTCTCGCCGTCTTCTCGGGACCGTCTCCCCCATTCCTTCCTCCCTCCCGCTAGCTCCAGGGGGCTGCAAATAAAGCACAGGTGGGGTCTGGATCCCGCCAAGCGGACCAGACACAGACGGCAGCCCCGTCAGGGCCCTGCCTTGCTCGAGGGTCTGGGACTCCAGATACAGCCAGCGTTTTAGCAGGGTGCCATTGTCAGCCCCAAGGCACAATACGCCATGAGTACAAAGCGGCTTCATAGGTTCATGGGAAATGGAATGAGAAGTTTATGCAGGACTCTTGAAAATGCATAGTAAGGGAAAAGCTATGCCCGATTTCAAGGTTTTCTGGCATCCAAGTAACCTGTCTGTTCATGTGATTTTTTCCATGAGGTTTCTGAAGTTCCCCTGGATTGTTCACGCGGGGTGGGGTGGGGTGGGACCAGCTTCCGGGGTCCTTCCCCGAGCTCCAGGGCTCGTGTTGCACCTGTCGCTCCCCGTCCTCAGCTGTGACGCACTTGGAGAGGATGCTTCCTCCAGGGGCCGACATCGCTGTTTCCCAAAGTCAAACCAGCTTCACGCACACGGGACTGCCCTTAGCAGAATCGAGTCCAACGAAGGAATTTTTTTTCCCCCTTTACAACTCCTTTGCAAGACTAAGGTACCCCTTGTGGGATAACACACAAGTTCACTGATGCATTGCATGAAAAATTCTACTGGGAAAACCGGTTCCAGGCTGAACCAGGTGATGGTCATGTCAGTGAATCCTTTCCGGGCCCCTGCAGCACAGCGGCAAGCCCTCCCGTCACCCCGCCGGCCTTACCTTCCTCCTTGACCTTGCCGTGCCAGAGGACCTGCCGCCCCGGCTAACTGCCTGCGTCTGCACACTGAGCCCTAGGAATGGCCATGTCTTGTGCCTGGGAGTGAAGGAAGCCAGAGGGTACAGAGGTCAGCCACGGTAATTATTAAACACCACAGTAATTATTAAACACCTTTGTTCCCCCTTAGAAAGCAGCTTAAAAGGTGAGAGTCAGGAAATCCCACCCTCGCCCCCGCCACCCAGATGTTTTGTTTACTTTTCACTCCATTTTTCTTAAAACCAGACTCTCCCGCGTCAGTTGGAGAACTCTCTCCACACAGCAGAAATCCTGCTCTTACTTGGAAATCAGAGGAGATAAGCTTTGCAACCAGCTCTTCTGTTACCCTAACAGGCTGTGTTCCCCATTGGAGCCAAGCAGCGCCCACAAGAACTGCTGTGTCTGTAACTTAGCTACGGCTTCTTCCCGGCCCTGGATCCTTACACGTTCCCTGCGGTTCTGAGCAGGTGGAGGGTGGGCAGGGCATCCTGCTCACTGCTGCCAGGACTGGTGTGGTGCCACCTGGAACCCCAGCGGGAACTTGTGGGGAGGCCTGGGGCCGCCTGCCTTGCACAGCTCTGCATGGTGCCCGTCAGGGCTGGCGCTGGGGCCGTTCACACGGGTCAGACCCCTGCTCAGCTGATGACAGATGCAAAGGGGGCCACAAAGGGCACCAGTCCCACACTCTCATTTGCCTGATGGGGAAACCGAGGCCGCAGAACTCGGACTCTCGACCTGGGACCTGCATTTGAGTCTGGCTCCCCTGGGGAGGGGACGGAGGTCATGGGTGGACCTCGGCAGCCGCTGTAAACACTACTGGCAGCCAAGGCCAGTCTCTGGGAAGAAGCTCCTTATCAGCAAGGCAGGTGCGGCTGAGCCTGAGGAGGGGACAGCAGAGGCTCAGCGTCAAGTGTGGGAGCTGGGGCATTGCCACTGTTACCTTCAGTCAAAACTCCCTGATAGCCGGATGGGCACACAGGTCACCCAGGCAGGGCCTGGCCAGGCAAACTTTGGGGCAGCCAGGTCTGTTCTCTCCCGGAGGGGCCTGAGAAGCTTGTCCCCTTCCCTTAGGAGGGCCAAGGCTCCTTGGCTGCCCCAGGCTTGTTGGGGGTGGCCCCGGAAGTATGTCCTACCATAGCAGCATGCCCCTCAGAGCGTCTGGCCCATCTGTATTTGCAAAACACTGCAGAGTGCTCCCTCGGTCAAGGATGTTCCCTCCTGGGGACAGACACCAGGGCAGGGTGCAGCCAGACAGCCTCACAACCCCACCCACCAGCCCCAGGGCCTCAGGCTCTGAATCTGTAGAGGGGCCAGTGATGGCACGCCCTCCCCCACCCAGGGCCCTTGGGAGGGGCTGCAGGTTTCCCGCTGGACTTCAGCCTTTTATGAGTGCAGAGGAGCCGCTGGGCTTATAGGCACAGGCGCTGGTTTGCCACACCCGGCACGAGGGTCCTTTGTCAAGTCAGAGATCACTGATCAGTTCATTTGAGGCCCATGTGAGCATTTTCTAAGGCTGTGTCTCTTGGGGGCTGGCACTGTGGTGTAGTGGGTAAAGCTACACCTGTAGTGTAGGTACACCTGTAGTGTAGAAGCTACCGCCTGTAATGCCAGTATCCCATATGGGCACCGGTTCAAGTCCCAGCTGCTCCACTTCCTATCCAGTTCTCTGCCATGGCCTGGGAAAACAGCGGAAGATGCCCCAAGTCCTTGGGCCTCTGCACCGGGGAATCCCGGAGGAAGTTCCTGGCTTCGGATCGGCCCAGCTCTGGTCATTCCATCTGCTGGGATGGAAGACCTCTCTGCCTCTCTGTAACTCTGCCTTTCAAATCAATAAATAAATCTTGAAAAAAAAATACATTCACTGTATTATAAAAGATAAATAAAGCTGTGTCTCTCACCCAACTTCCAACCTGCAGAGCAAATATTCAATCAATTGTCATGTGTTTTTTTCCTTACAGCAAATACCATGGATTTGATTCAAAAACCAGAGACGTTCTCCCATTAGGCATGGGCGCTTTGTGCTTCCGGGCCTGAAGTTTTGCCTCCCGGCAGTCAGTCTCTCTTCTAGTTAACCTCCTAGGAAGCCTCATTCAACTCTGTTATTTCCTAAGACTCTGCTAAAGCTTTTGACCTTCACTTTGAAACTACTTTTTCTGATTGCAAAGACGCTCCCAGTTTGCTGATGCTGACACCACCTGCACTTTCTCTCCTCTTTGGCTTGTATCAGGTCCCCTCTTCCTGTAATGGATTTTATTTATTTATTTATTTATTTTTTTGACAGGCAGAGTGGACAGTGAGAGAGAGAGACAGAGAGAAAGGTCTTCCTTTGCCGTTGGTTCACCCTCCAATGGCCGCCGCGGCCGGCGCGCTGCGGCCGGCGCACCGCGCTGATCCGATGGCAGGAGCCAGGAGCCAGGTGCTTTTCCTGGTCTCCCATGGGGTGCAGGGCCCAAGCACCTGGGCCATCCTCCACTGCACTCCCTGGCCACAGCAGAGGGCTGGCCTGGAAGAGGGGCAACCGGGACAGAATCCGGCGCCCCGACCGGGACTAGAACCCGGTGTGCCGGCGCCGCTAGGCGGAGGATTAGCCTAGTGAGCCGCGGCGCTGGCCCCTGTAATGGATTTTAAAAACGTGTTTACGCTGGCAGTGTGCTTCCTTCTGCGGTCTCTGGGCATCTTATTCTCTGGCTCCCCGTGCTGTGACGGAGGCTGGGTCTTTGGCCAACGTTCATCCCTTACCACGTACCAGGCCGGTGCTCCAGTCCTGCCTCAAGTTTTCAATGTTCTTCCGCTCACTGAATTGCTGGGCCCTATACTCCTTCCTATTGCTGCTGGCAGTAGTCTGGGATCTTGGGGAGCTCTGAGACAGCTGTGACAGGAATGACAGCTGCTCACTGACCTGCTAATTTCCGCCAGAGGGACTTGTGTCAAGGCTCTGGAATGTGCAAAGTCTTTCAATATCAAGGACTGATAGTCACACCATTAAACAATTACCAGGAAGAATAGGATTCTGAGACTCTTATCTGGGAACCATCTATGTATCACTCTTTATATGCCCAGGAACCGCTGGCGTGCGCAAGTCTGCCTTAGGACTTTGTCAGGCATTTGTATGTGTCCCAAGTATTTTTTTTTTTTTTTAGTGGCTAATCTCCTTGGGAAAATCAGTGCTCTTTCTTGGAATTTTCTCGTTTTCCCCTACAACGTGACTTCTTGTCCTGCTCCCTAACCCCACACCTCCTCACTGGTCATTGTCATTACTCCTGGTTCCATGGTCATCCATGGGGAAAGGCTGTTAGCTGGTGAGGTCAAAAAGAATTCTGTGTAATCAAAAAATTTTAGAAACAAGTTATCACTTGGGGGTTGTCTGGCATAACGGCTAAGACCTCACTTGGGATACCTGTGTTCTGTATCAGAGTACTCGGGCCTCGGTTCCAGCTCTGCTCCTCATTCCAGCTTCCTGCTATTGCACACCCTGGGAGGTGGCGGGTGATGGCTCCAGTACTCGGCTTCCTGCCATCCACATGGAAGACTTGGACTGAGTTCCTAACTTCTGGCTTAGGTCTGCCCCAGGCCCGGCTGTTTCAGATAGGAGATCTCTTTCAATTTCAGATAAAGAAAAAAGGACTCGCATTTTTTTTTTTACTTTTATTTAATGAATATAAATTTCCAAAGTACAGCTTATGGATTACAATGGCTCCCTCCCCCATAACGTCCCTCCCACCCGCAACCTTCCCCTTTCCTGCTCCCTCTCCCCTTCCATTCACATCAAGATTCATTTTCAATTCTCTTTATATACAGATCAGTTTAGCATATTTTAAGTAAAGATTTCAACAGTTTGCACCCACATAGAAACACAAAATGAAAAATACTGTTTGAGTACTAGTTATAGCATTAAATCTCAATGTATAGCACACTAAGGACAGAGATCCTACATGAGGAGTAAGTGCACAGTGACTCCTGTTGTTGACTTAACAAATTGACACTCTCGTTTATGGCATCAGTAATCACCCTAGGCTCTTGTCATGAGTTGCCAAGGCTATGGAAGCCTTTTGAGTTCACCGACTCTGATCATATTTAGACAAGGTCGTAGGACTCACATTTTTGGTCATCTGCCTTCCGTCTACCTGGCACACCACCCATCCTTATGGGACTCTGGACGGCTGCTGACCGAAGGATCCTGGACCTCAAGCCGCAGTGGAGGGCTCAGGACTCCAGCTCAGCCAAGGGGACTCCCTCTGCCAGGGCTCTGCATCCCGAGTGGAGAAGTGAGGGGAGGGCTGACAGCATCACACCCCCGAGATCCTGCTTTGTGTCCTTCTCCAGACGTTACTGTGAGCGCCCACTGCACATTTCCAAAATGTTCCTGCTTCCCTCAACGCTAGGCAGTCTCCCTCCTGGAGACTCGCAGCAGGGAGGGACAGAGCCCTCCCGGCAGGCCAGCTGCCCCGAGCCCGCCCGGCCTCTTTCCCCTCAGCCTCTGACCCCAACCCCCTTCTCCTCTTGAGGTCTTGCGTCTGCTGACGCTCCCCCTCCCTGCGTCTCTCCAGCTCCCCAAGCCCCGCATGTTCTGCCACGTCCACGGTCTACCCAGTCCTCCAGGAGGCATCCTAACGGCCTCGGTCCCTCCCTGGCGCGCAGCTGTCTTGTCTCGCTGGGCCTCGCCTTCTTCACCCTGCTCTCACCCTGGGCTCTCAGCCCATCTGCCTGTCCCCTGCAGCACCCAGCCAGGAAGCCGGGCAGAGGCCCAGTGCCATGTGGCCCCCGCCCCCTGCCCTGGGGGGCCCCCAAACTGGCAGAGTACATCTGTAGTGTATGTTCGACTCAGTGCAGAATCTAAGACCTCACGTCTCGAGGGGATCAAATGCTCCCATAAAAGGCCGGCAAAGATGGGGTCAAAGGGAGGGAGTGGTTTCTCTCCAGGGAATGACGACAACGGCAGCGTCCCTCCGACAAGCCAGCCCTGGCCATGCCACTGCTCGGCTGGGCTACAGGTTACTGGAGGGTGGGCGCACATTCCCGTGAGTAACACCCAGCTTACTTACGAGGCCATCTCCTGGCGAGACGACGCTCCGCTTGGAATCCTGTTGAGTGTTTCCATCCTTTCTAAGAGAAAATTAAACCAGAACGGTTTACCTGGTGAACAGGCTTAAAAAAATGTGAAAGAGCTACAGTGTTCCGTCTAGCCACTGAAGCCCACGTGCATAACTTCTGCTCACAAACCGAAAACCTGCGCTGGGGCCTACTTCCCGGCTCAGCATTGCCTGCAAGGGGACTGGGGAAGGACATGTCCCAGCACCTGCCCCTCGCCCCATAGCTTAGGGCCCTGTGCATGCTGAGGTGAGTGGCCCTCAAGAGCTGCATGTCCCCACAGGAAGGCCCAGTGTGTGGGTCTGCAAGGTGGAGGGGTGGCACATATGGCACACAGTGGGACAGCACCATGGCCCCCTGGCATCTTTCCAGGTTGGGGCGGGGATTCCACCCTGTTGCTCAAAGGGGTGGGGCCCTCTGTGGCCCAGGATAAATGGGCGGGGAGAGAGGACGGAACAGGCTTTGTAGGACTTACCCAGGACTAGCGCTTGTTATTCCACTGAACAAGACACCACACTCAGTGAGCACCCAGCTGCCGTGACTGCTGCTTCCCTGTGAGGCCTTTCTTCCCATCCACCGTCAGACACACAGCATGACTGCTCAGCTTGCCCCTCCGGCCTTCCAGGCCTTCCCCAGCTGTAGATCAAGAGCTGGGAGGAAGGCCAGCACAGCAGGGCACTGCTAACCTGAGCAATGGGTATCACACAGCCAGCCGGTCTTGGTGGCAACACAGACAAGGGGAAGTACACCGAAAAAGAAATATTTTAGCAGTTACAAAAAGGAGAGAGAGACAGTAAATTTTCAGCAGTATTATTAAAATAAAGCAAAATGTTAAAAACAGACTAACGTCCTGCAATGTCTTCTCTTCATGTCCCCAGCAGTACTCTGCATCTTCCTGGCAGTGGCTGCCTCTCATGCTGGGGACAGGGCGCCCCTCCTGGCTAGTGCAGGGCATGGCTGTCAGGCTCTGGGCCTAGTCAATGGGCTCCGGCAGACTCTGCAGGGCGGTGGCAGGAGGTGTCAGGGCACATAAGCCATCCAACACGTCTCCCTGAGTGATGCCGGTGAGGCGGGCGTCCTCCGGAGGTCTGCTGCTGCCCCACGTGTCTGTCCTCTCCAGCGAGGCCTGCAGAAGGCGGCGGATTCTTTGGTTTTCCTCGGAGGTGGACTCCCAAACAACCTGAAGTTCACCTTCCATTTTTCTGAGAGAAAGAAACAAAACAAAGGAGAAGAGCACAGTTTGAAACATGTGGACGTGGTGGGCACTTGGCACAGAATTCAATCGCTGCTTAGGGGGTGTTTTATCACATACAGGGAGTCCTGAGTTCAAGTCCCGGCTCCACTGCGGACTCCAGCTTCCTGCTGGTGCACACCCTGGGAAGCAGCGGTGGTGACCCAAGGAGTCGGCTCCCTGCCCCCAGGAGCTCCTGGCTTCAGCCCGGCCAGCCTGGTTGTTTCAGGCATTTAGATGGAAGGTTCTCTGGCTCCCTGCCTTTCAAATTGAAAGCAATGAAGAAACTAAAACATATTTATGGAGCTCTATGAATCCTGAGTGGAAGAACTTGGTTGAGGGCCTGGCGCTGTGGCGCAGTGGGTAAAGCCGCCACCTGCTAGTGCCGGCATCCCATATGGACACTGGTTTGAGTCCCAGCTGCTCCACTTCCGATCCAGCTCCCTGGTAATGGCCTGGGAAAAAAGCAGTGGCTTCGGCCTGGCCCAGTCCTGGCTGTTGTGGTCACCTGGGCAATGAACCGGCAAATGGAAGATCTCTCTGTGTCTCCCTCTCTATATCTAACTCTATAAATAAACAAATAAATAAACCTTTCAAAAGAAAAAAAAAAAGAAAGAAAAGAATGCTTGGTGTCAGAACAAAGGCCCCTGTGCTCGGGCTCTGAAGCAGCAGACTCCAGTGTGAATGAGGCACCCAGTCCCCGGCAACAGGAAAAACGAAAAGGCACCAGCTACAAAAGGATTACTTACTTCTCCCTCTGTAAGTTTTTGCCTTAAAAAAAAATTAAACATTCTGTTTATTTATTTTAATCCACTTGAAAGGCAAGGCAAGAAAGGGAGAGAGGGAGGAGAGAGAGAGAAAAAAAAATATCTTCCATCTGCTGGTTCACTCCCCAAATGCCAACAATACCCAAGGCTGGGTCAGGCTGAAGTCAGAACCCTGGAACTCCATCTGGCTATCCCATGTGGGTGGCAGGGGCCCAAATACTTGTGCCTCTCAGGATGCACCAGCAGGAAGCTGGATGGGAAGCAGAGCAGTGCGGACTCAAACAAGCACTCTGATATGGGATGTGGGTATTCCAAGAGACAACTTAATCTGCTGCTCCATAATATCAGCCCAGCCTTTTCCTTTACTCTGGCATCAATGTCTATTTGTTGAAGAATTAACAGGTGCACGTATAATCATAAATATGGTAAGTGTGGGCTGATCTAAGCCAGCCAGAAGCCACAGCACCCTAGCCTGGAGGCAGGTACCCACACGGCACAGGTCAGGCAAAGGTATCCACATCCTCCCAGGGCTGTGGGCCTCGCAGAAGCAGACCAGGCTACCAGCCAGCGCTTCTCAGGGCAGTGAGAAAGCAAGTCTCTGCTGGGGAGGAGAGCAGGCCTCGCCTAGGGTGGTGGGGCAGAGAGGGCACTTAACAAACACTGCCAGACTGCTCTGGAAAATGCCAGCAACTGGCCTAGCAGGGAAACTTGGCAGTACTATTAGTGGGCAGGGCAGTGAGGTTCAGGGAGGACAGCGACACGCCCACTTCTCCAGTCATTTATCTTGTCGACTGTTGCTTCCTTCCAAGGTCCATGATGCCCACTGAGTGCTGGGCACAATTTAATTAAAACGTCTCTAAGAAATCCTCAGCCTTGGGTTTCCTGGCACAAATTACCCAGCTATTTGATAGAGTACAGCAATCATGTTTAAATGTATGAACTCAAAGAACAGGAAATCTTGGGCAGAAAAAAAAAATAAACACTAAATTGAAACCAAAGAGACAGTCAAATCAAATGTCAGTATTGCTGTGATGACAAGAGCCAATGCGCCAAACCCAGATGTCTGTAGAACAGAGAGTAGATTCAGAGTGACACAATCCATAAACTGAGTGACATAAATCCTCAGGACTGACTCAGCCCACATTTCTCTTCTCCTGAGGAATGCTTCCTGGAACAGGTGTCACAGAGCCAGGCAGTGAGTGGCGGCACGGGAGGAACCTCTAGTAAAGGATGTACAGGCAGAAGAGCTCTGATATTCCCAACAAAGCGGTTCTAAGATGCTAAGGGTCTCCCAGAGACAGTCCCCACTGGGTCTGTTCTCTAATGGACCTAGAGTGTCAGTCTACACTGTTCTTTATGACTGAGCATTCCCAGACTCTGATTACCTAATCAAGGATAAAGGCATTTTTGAGACAATCAGGAAAAAAGTTCAACGGCTAGATTAAAGACACTGAACACAGCTAAAGAGAGAATTAGTACACTAGAATATTGAGCAGAAGAAATGATCTAGAATATAGTTCAGAAAAACATAAGATATTAATACATTATTAAACATAACAATAGTATGTATGTGTTTATTTATTTTTAAAGATTTATGTATTTATTTGAAAGGCAGAGATACAGAGAGATAGTCCATCCTCTGGTTCACTCTCCAAATGGCTACAATGGCCGGGGCTGGTCCAGGCTGAAGCCAACAGCCAGGAGCTTCCTCCAGGTCTCCCACATGGGTGGCAGGAATCTTCCACTGCTTTCCCAGGAGCATTAGCAGGGAGCTGGATTGGAAGTAGAACAGCTGGGACCTGAACCAGCAGCCATATGGGATGCCCCTAGTACTTATCAGATACATTTTAAAGTCTCTTTATATAAAAAAATTACTCTAGCCTATTTTTAAAATTAATAATAAAATTAAACTGGTTCCAGGTTCGAATTGTTCTCTGGCACCAAAGAGAAGTAAATATAAATCTTATCTGGAGGGAAAAAGCCCTCAATCCAGGCTTTTGGAATTCCACAGACTGAATTTGACCAAATATTAATTCATAGTAAAAAACTACTATTCCGGGGCCAGCGTTGTGGTGTAGCAAGGTAAGCTATTGCCTCCAATGCCGGCATTCCATGTGGGCACCAGTTTGAGACCTGGATGTTCCATGCTAATAGCCTGGGAAAAGCAGGGGAAGATGGCTCAAGTGCTTGGGCAACTGCACGCACATGGGAGACACTGAAGAGGTGTTGGGCTCCTGGCTTCAGCCTGGCTTAGTCTTGGCCATTGTGGCCATTTGGGGAGTGAACCAGTGGATGGAAGATCTATCTCTTTCCATCTCTCCCTCTCTCTCTCTAACCTGCCTTTCAAATAAAAGCAAAGATTAAGAACAACAGATTTTTAAAAGAACCAAACAGAACTTCTGAAAATGAAATATACAGTTGTTGAAGTAAAAGATTAGTGGCTGAGTTAAACAGAACATTGAATACAGATGAAGAGAGAGTTAGTGAATAGGAATACTAAATAGAAGAAATTGCCCAGATTGTAGACCACAAAACAAACAGATGGAAAGTCTGATAAGGCATGTGGATGATTCAATGAGAAAGATCTAACATGCGGTCATGCTGTGGCTCACTAGGCTAATCCTCTGCCTGCGGCGCCGGCACCCTGGGTTCTAGTCCTGGTTGGGGCACCGATTCTGTCCTGGTTGCTCCTCTTCCAGTCCAGCTCTCTGTTGTGGCCCAGGAAGGCTGTGGAGGATGGCCAAGTGCTTGGGCCCTGCACCCGCATGGGAGACCAGGAGGAAGTACCTGGCTCCTGCCTTCGGATCAGCGCAGCACCCCGGCCATAGCGGCCATTTGGGGGGTGAACCAACTCTCTCTCACTGTCTAACTCTGTCAAAAAAAAAAAAAAAAAAAAAGGGGGGGGGAGAAAAGAGAGGTTTTTAAGAGATAATAACTGGGCCGGCGCCGTGGCTCAATAGGCTAATCCTCCACCTTGCGGTGCCGGCACACCGGGTTCTAGTCCCGGTTGGGGCGCCGGATTCTGTCCCGGTTGCCCCTCTTCCAGGCCAGCTCTCTGCTATGGCCAGGGAGTGCAGTGGAGGATGGCCCAGGTGCTTGGGCCCTGCACCCCATGGGAGACCAGGAAAAGCACCTGGATCCTGGCTCCTGCCATCGGATCAGCGCGGTGCGCCGGCTGCAGCGGCGGCCATTGGAGGGTGAACCAACGGCAAAGGAAGACCTTTCTCTCTGTCTCTCTCTCACTGTCCACTCTGCCTGTCAAAAATAATAAAAAAAAAATAAATAAATAAAAATAAAAAAATAAAAAAAAAAGAGATAATAACTGGGACTTTTTTCTAGAACTAATAAAGACACAAAATTACAGCTGCAGAGTGAAAGTTAAACCAAGTGGATAGACAAAAAAATAAATTCATACTTAGACATATAACAATGAAACTACAGAATACAAGATACAGAGCAGATATTAAGAGGCAAGAAAAAAGATGAACTACCTATTTTTTTTTTTTTTTTTTACATTTTGAAAAAGCTATTTATTCTTTTCCAAATATTATTCCAGGGGGCTGGCACTGTGGCGTAGCCAGTAAAGCTGTCGCCTGCAGTACCGGCATCCCATATGGGCACCGATTAGAGTCCTGGCTGCTTCATTTCTGATTCAGCTCTCTGCTATGGCTTGGAAAGCAGTGGAGGATGGCCCAAGTCCTTGGGCTCCTGCACACACAGGGGAGACCTGGAAGAAGCTGCTGGCTCCTGGCTTTGGATTGGCGTAGCTCCGGCCGATATGGCAATCTGGGGAGTGAACCAGCGGATGGAAGACTCTCTCTGCCTCTCCTACTCTCTGTATAACTCTTTCAAATAAATAAATAAATCTTCAAAAAAAATATTATTCCAAATATGCGTTTTACAGACAAGGGTGAATTTGGTCCAGACACATTCTATAGAAGCAACCCATTTTTACAGACATTGAGAATAATTCTAATAAAAGGAAAGGCTCGCATTTATCTAGATGTGACTGAATTCCATGGAAAATTTCAGCATCTAAAGTATAAACACAAAATGACCGTGGCTCTTCTTGCCACATGAAATACTGATAGCCTACTCCTAACTGTTAGTTAGGATGTCAAATAGATGATATACTGAATGTTAGACTAGGGCTCCACTGGACAAGGTGAGAATAGGAGAGGGCCAGGGAGGGGATTAGAAGGGGTAGGGTCAGGCAGCAGAATGAATTTAACCTTAGAAGAACAAACCGGCTTTGATCCCCAATCAAACCCAAGGCCAAACGAGTGGACCATTAGAGAGAAATACAAGTTGTAGTATCACATTTAAAAGGGCCGGTGCTGTGGCACAGCAGGTTAATCCGATACCTGCAGCAGTGGCATCCCATATGGGCGCCAGTTTGAGTCCTGGCTGCTTCACTTCCAATCCAGCTCTGTGCTAATGTCCTTGGAAAGCACTGGAAGACGGCCCAAGTGCTTGGGCCTCTGCCACCTGGATTTTTCTTTTTTACTTTCATATATCTACAACTAGCTGCAATGACATTAGACAACAACAGCATAGATGTGGGAAAACATTAGCCTCAACTGTTTTGTTTTCCTTTTTTTTTTTTTTTTTTTAAAGATTTTATTTATTTGAAGGGCAGAGTTACAGAGAGATAAAGAGAGGGAGAGGGAGAGGGAGCTCTTCCATTTGCTGGTTCACTCCCCAGATGGCTGCAACAGCCAGGGCTGGGCCAGGCCAAAGCCAGAGGCTTCTTCCAGGTCTCCCATGCAGGTGCAAGGGCCTAAGCACTTGGGCCATCTTTCGCTGCTTCCCCAGGCACATTAGCAGGGAGGTGGATTGGAAATTGAGCAGCTGGGACTTGAACCAGCGCCGTACAGGATGCCAGCACTGCGGCTGTGGCTTTACCCACTATGCCACAGCGCATTCCCCCTTTTCTTTTCTTTAGGTTCAAGTATTAATCTTGCATTTGGCGAGGGAAATGCAGAGATGCTAATTGAATTTAGATTTTTAAAAAATAAGTATTCATGGTGGAAATTTCAAGAGTAACCATTAAAAGAGAAACAGAACATCCAACTTTCAAACCATTAGAGGGCAAAAAAAAATGGAAAAACAAAGTAAATAAATTTCTATTTTGTTAATGTAGTTCTAAATCTACCATTTGGAAGGTAACTGGTATTAGCTCAACTCTGTACAAAGTGACGAGGTTGGTGGTATGATCTTCTGCCAGAGGATCATGCTGGATAGATGTCAGACATCGTGTTGCCTGCCATTAAGAAGAACCTGCCTCATGGGTAATATAAACAGATACTTGCATTCTGCATGGCATCAGGTATGCTGACTGTATTTTAAAATCACATCCAAAAACGATTACCAGACCTCTGCATGCATCAGTCTACATTCCATCCTGTCAATGACAACACAGCCGTTATGGGCAGATCAACTTGGGTGTGAAACCAACACCCAAGGGAACTTGGGAGGGGACTCCCAAGTTCATCTTCACAAAGGTTATGATAGTCTCTAGCAGGTTTGTCTTTTATTTAAAGATTTATTTATTTGAAAGACAGAGTGAATAAGAAAAAGACAGAGAGAGATTGGTTTTCCATCTACTGGTTCACTACCCAAATGCCCACAACAGCCAGAACTGGGCGAGGCTGAAGCCAGGAGCCAGGAATTCAATACAGGTGTCCCACATGGGTGGTGAGAACTCAAGTACTTGAGCTACCAACCATTGCTTCCCACGTATATTAGCAGGGAACTGGTCTGTAAGCAAAGTAGCTGGGACTCAAACCAGCACTCTAATATGAGGTATGGGCATCTCAAGTGGCAGCCTTGAGCCACTGTGCCACAGTGCTCAACCCAGTCCTGGTGTTTTTAAAACACAGACAAGAGACCAGTGCTGTGGCACAGTGGGTAAAACCTCCGCCTGCCATATCGGCATCCCAAAGGGGCACCGGTTTGAGTCTAGGATCCGGCTCTCTGCTATGGCCTTGGGAATGCAGTAAAAGATAGCCCAAGTCTTTGGGCCTCTGCACCCGCACGGGAGACCAGGAATACGCTCCTCCTTACTTCGGCTTGGCCCAGCTCTAGCCACTGTGGTCATTTGGGTGGTGAACCAGTGGATGGAAGACCTCTCTCGATCTCTCTGTAACTCTGCCTTTCAAATAAGTTAATCTTAAAAAACAAAAAACAGACAGACAATAGTTTATCAGATGGTTGCAGGAAAAAGGTGTGAGTGATATAATAACTGACAGCCACAGGGAACATACTGTATCCTTATCTTAGAGTTACGATCTTACTAAAAGGGAATGATCCAATATTTTAAAGTTTCCAGAAATTAAAACATTTAATCAAAAACTAATAAAATCGTCCAAGAAAATGAAATACAGCAAAAATATCAAAGAGGCAGAAAAAAGGAGGGGCTAGCGCTGTGATACAGTGTGTTAATAAGCTGCTGTTTGCAGTGCTGGCATCTCATATGGGCACTGGTTCAAGCCCTGGCTGCTCCACTTCTGATCCAGCTCCCTATTAATGCTCCTAGAAAAGCAGCAGAGGATGGCCCAAGTGCTTGGGCCCCTGCACCCACATGGGAGACCTAGAAGAAGATCCTGGCTCCTGGCTTTGGTCTGGCCCAGCCCTGGTCCTTGTGACCATTTTGGGAGTTAAAAAGGAAAATGGAAAAGGCACTTAAAAGAACTAGGTTATTTAGGAAGTCCAATTCACATAGCAGAGATTTTTAAAATTATTTATTTATATACTTATTCACTTGGAAGGCAAAGAGATAGGAAAAGACAGACGGAGTTTCCATCTGCTGGTTCATTCTCCAAACACCCGCAACAGCTCCCATGTGGGAGGCAGGAACCCAACTATGTTAGCCATCATCACTGCCTCCTGGGGTGTGCGTCAGCAGGAGCTGCACGCAGGAGTTGGAGCCAGAAAGAAACCCAGGCTCTGCTGTGGGAGGTGGGTATCATAACAGGTGCCTGAACTGCCAGCTACCTGCTCACTAGAAGACATTTTCTTTTTAGATTTATTTTTATTTATTTGAAAGGTAGAATTAGCGAGAGAGGTAGAGACAGAGAGAGAAGTCTTCCAACCGCTGGTTCACTCCCCAAATGGCCACAACAACTGGGGATCCTGGCCAGGAGCCAGGAGCTTCTTCTGGGCCTCCCACGTGGGTGCAGGGGCCCAAGGACTTAGGCCATCCTCTACTGCTTTCCCAGGTGCATTAGAAGGGAGCTGGATCAGAAGTGGAGCAGCCAGGACTTGCACTGGTGCCCACATGGGATGCTGGTGCTGCAGGCCAGGACTTTTAACTCACTGCGCCACAGTGCCGGCACCTAGAAGGAACTTTTAAAAAAGAACAAAAATGAGGAGGAAATGAAAATCAAGACAAATATTAAGTCTAGATAAAACTAAGATGTAAAAGCAAAATTGAGCAATCAAACAAAAAAGGTCCAGATGGTTTTGCCAGAAATCTCACCGAACAGTCAAATGGAGAGGCCTTGTTCTCCAGGGCTGGTGCGGCCCTACCTTTTCTGTTGTAGCGCCTCGTCCAGGACCTCCTGCTTGTTCCGTAGCATCTGGTGGAGGTGCCTCACCTCCTGCTGATACTGAGCTGCCAGGCCAGCAAAGAGCTCCCAGATGTCTTCCAGCTTCAGCTCTGTCTCCTTCTTATACCCCTGTGGTGGCGAAGGAGAGAACGGCATGAGATGCCCACAGGAGACGCCCCTCTGGCCTCATCCCCCACCTGTGCCTTGCAATGTCAGAGCCCCCTTAGAAGCATGGGATAACCTGACCGGGGAGGGCACGTCTGGGTCATCAAAAGATAAAAAGTGATGAAAGGCTCTCAGGTGCAATAAAACCAAAATGATAGTTTTTATTCTACCAAGTGTTTTATATGCATGCTACAAATAAAATTATAAAATCTCACCCACAGAACAAACTGGATGCTTTTGTGGGTTAATCTACTTTTGTGGTTTCTTTCTTTTTTCCTCCACACAGGGCAGTGTTAGTCCCCTGCTCACTGGGTAACTTAAGAACGAATGTTGACACCTGTCAGCACTGTTGTACCAGAGAAGCCTGAGTAGCCCAGGGAACTGGGTCTCTGCTGTGAGGCAGGTGACTGAAATAAAAGTCTGCAAAAAAGCTTGACTCATTTGTTTTCCTTCTTTCACTTTATTGTATAGGAGTTAAAGTACTGAAGAGTGCACCGAGCAATTTTTCCTATTACATTATTTGTATTTGAAATATTTTCTATCTTTTTCATCATTTTTAAATAGAGTTCAACTTTTCTTTTAAAGATTTATTTAAAAGGCAGAACAGCCGGTGCCACGGCTCACTAGGCTAATCCTCCGCCTGCGGCCCCAGCACCCCGAGTTCTAGTCCTGGTTGGGGGGCCGGATTCTGTCCCAGTTGCCCCTCTTCCAGGCCAGCTCTCTGCTGTGGCCCGGGAAGGCAGTGGAAGATGGCCCACGTGCTCGGGCCCTGCACCCCATGGGAGACCAGGAGAAGTACCTGGCTCCTGCCTTTGGATTGGCACAGCTTGCCGGCTGAAACATGCTGGCCATAGCAGCCACTTGGGGGGTGAACCAACAGAAAAAGGAAGACCTTTCTCTCTGTCTCTCTCTCACTGTCTAACTCTGCCTGTCAAAAATAAATAAATAAAAAATAAAAGGCAGAACAATAGAGAGGGAGAGACAGAGATCTTCCATCTGCATGTTCACTCTGCAACAGCTAGGGAGAGACGGGACAGAGCGAGAGAATCTCTTCATTCTGCTGACATACTCCTCAAATATGTACAACAGGGCTGGGCCAGGTCAAAGCCAGGAGCCTGGAACTCAATCTGGGTGTCCCACATGGGTGGCAGGCAGCCAATCACTTGAACAGCCCCCTGCTGCCTTCCAGGGAATGCTTTAGCAGGAAGTTGGAACTGGAAGTGGAGCCGGAACTTGAACCCAGGCACTCTGACCTGGAATGCAGGTGTCTCAAGTGGCTGTTGTATTAATTACCTGCCCCTAGTCCTCTCTCTTTATACAGTATCCATTGGTTCCCCACCAAAAGCAATAATAACATCGGCTTAAAACAACCTTTTCTCACTCTTGCCCTCCCTGTTCACCTACATACATATGCTTCAGCTCTTAATATCAATTTTTCAGGGTCTGGAACTGTGGCATAGCAGGTAAAGCCACTGTCTCCAATGCCAGCATCTTTTATGGGTGCCAGTTCAAGTCCTGGCTGTCACACTTCCAATCTAGCTCCCTGCTAATGTGCCTGAGAACGCAATAGAAGATGGCCCAAGTTGCTTGGGCCCCTGCACCCACATGGGAGACCCAGAAGAAGATCCTGGCTCCTGGCTTCGACCTGGCTCTGCCCTGGGCATTGTGGCCATTTGAGGAGTGAACCAGTGGATGGAAGATCTCTCTGTGTCTCTCCCTCTGTCTCTCTGTAAAGCCAGCTCCAAAATAAATCTTAAAAAACAAATAAACAAAATACTTAAAAAAAAAACTAAATTTTCAGCTCTAAATGATATCCTTTGACTCTTTCAAACATAGCACAGTTAAGCAATCAGCATGTTTACCCCTGTCTACTTTCCTGCCCCCTTTCATATCATTTTCCCTTGGCCGTAATTCCATATTATCAGAAAACATTTACATTCTATCAGCCTCCTCCCTACTTGAAGTCTTTGTTCACTGCAAGTTAATTTTGCCAAAGCTCCCCCAATCGTTTCCTGGTTGGCTGAACTCGGGATGACTGATCCTCAGGAAAGGATCCTGGAAAAAACGCTCCCAGAGCTCCTGGAAGTTCCAAAGCACCCTTGCCCCGCTCGGGCTCCTTCCCTGGTGCTCACGGGTGGCAGGTGGCAGGCGGTACTCGGCGTTGCTGCTTTCCTTTCTCTCGAGCCTTGGTCTTTCGCCTGAGTCTCCAAGGTGTTTCTTTATACCTTCAAGTCTTGAGGTCAATGTTTGGGTTCCATTCCGGGTCAGTTTGTTCCAGGACACAAGGTGCCTCTTCACTATGCAGACTTAAAAGTTTTTTTATGAATTACAGTTTGGAAGGAATTAAGCCATTGTTCTCGTCTCTCCTTTGGGGGCTCCGACAACAGGGATATTGGACCTTTGTCACTCTCTACTGAATTCTTTGTCAAGCTTCATTTCTGCTTTCTTGTCTTTTTCATTTCTAAGAAAAATTTCTAATTTCTAAGTCCCTTATTGTGCTTTTGTGATACCACCTCCTCATTTTGCCTTCATTTCTGAAATGGTTGCTCTTGCTCTATTTCTTCCCTGTGTTTCCTGTCCGCTCCATTTCACATCCTTCTGGGTCTGGTCATCTGTTGTTGAGGTTCCTGTTATTTCTTCCTACCTTGACTGTTTCATTTGCTTTACCTATGAGAGTGCTTCAAAAAACTTTATGGAAAATGGAATTAAAATATTTAAAAAAAGATTTATTTATTTGAAAGGCAGAGTGAGAGAGAGAGTGAGACAGAGAGAGACAGAGAGAGTGTCTTCCATCCACTGGTTCATTCCCCAAATGGCCACAGCAGCCAGAGCTGAGCTGAGCTGAAGCCAGGAGCCAGGAGCTTTTTCCTGATCTTCCAGTGGGTTCAGGGGCCCAAGCACCTGAGCCATCTTCCGCTGCTTTCCCAGCAACATCAGCAAAGAGCTGGTTTGGAAGTGAAGCACTGGGACCTGAACCACGCCCATGGGGTGCCAGTGCCACAGGTGGTAGCTTTACCAGCTATGCCTAGGTGCTGGACCCTAAAATGTTTCTGCTGCTATAAAATATTTTGAAATAATGCATAGTTTTTTCACGATATGCATTTCCATGAACTTATAAAATACCTCATATAGGCATGGATCTCAAATTTTTTTGCATCAAATACTTATCTTTTAATTTCATCTTCATGAACTTTTAAAAGTATCTTTATATCTATGTCCAGCTATTTAGACACCTATCTACCTACTTAACTACCTGTCAGTTCACTTTGAACAGTTTTGATCTCCTTTGTGGCAACATTTTTTTCCAATAAGCCTTCATCAACTTTCATCAACAGGCAAACTATGCTTCCATATTTTCTTCAAGTATTTTTGTACGGAGGCCACTGAATTCTTTGGGGATGATATGAAGTTCCTTGAGTAACAGTGGTTGGGCGAGGGCTTCTTCCAGGCTCTACATGTCACCCCTCTTATAGCTCCCTCCATCTCTAAGTCCAGTCTTACCAGTTGGGTTTCCGTCTTTAGCCCCAAGGTTCCCAGCTCTCATCGTGGCCCCTGATGTTCAAAGTAATGTTCTTGTTTTTAGAAGTCATGTTTTTGAGGTTTTCTGAGCTGCCACCTCTGGATTTTCTCAAGCCTTTTCTTCGCTTCCCTGTATATGCTGCCCTAGCTTGGTCCTGCTCATAGGTCTCTGCCCTAGGTGACCCCTTCTTACAAGTTCTTTTCAGATGGGTGATAATGACATGGATTCCCCAGACAAGACCACCTAATCTAAAGACCACGCCTTCTCTTCTGGAAGTACAAAATTAAAAGAAAAAAAAAAACCTCCACAGAGGAAAATTAGCCATAATATTTCTATGCAGTCATTAACAGTATGGTATACTCCTAATCTTTCTGAGGCACAGTTGAGATATCAATTTGTACACTGTTTTTGATTAGCTGGAGTTTTTGTTGTGGTTGTTGTTAAAGATTTATTTATTTATTTGAAAGTCAGAGTTACATGGAGAGCAGGAGAGGCAGAGAGAGAGAGAGAGAGAGAGAGAGAGAGAGAGAGAGAGTTCTTCCATCCACTGGTTCACTCCCCAGTTGGCCGCAATGGCCAGAGCTGCGCCGATCCGAAGCCAGGAGCCAGGAGCTTCTGGATTGGAAGTAGAGCAGCCAGGACTTGAACTGGTGCCCATACGGGTTGCCAGCACTGCAGGCAGCAACCGCACATGCTATTCCACACCGTCGGCCCCAAGCTGGAGCTTTAAATACATTATTTAATTCATTCCCCAAATATTTATTGAATTACAGTTTACTGTACACAAAGCGTTATTCTAGGTACTTGGGATCTATCAGTGACTAAAAACAGACAACATTTCCTACACTTGTGCAGAGTACAGCCTGGTCAGGAGACAGTTAATAAATAAGCAAGAAACAGAGTGAATAAAGTACACAGTCTGTTAGAAGGTGCTGGCATATGGGGAAGAAATAATAACACAAGGTAGCAAGAACCACAAGATCAGAGGTGCTTATTTCTGCCAGCAAAACCTTACGCTGGCATAGTCTGCGGATGAGGAGACACACACAGAAACCAGCAGTTCTGTTCCACACTGACAGCTGTACCACAGGCCATTCCCATGGGAGGACGCATCTCTGAGGCTGGGGGACCACTGACCTTGAACTGCTCCTCCAACTTTCGAAGTTGAATTTTGTTTTTTATGCTTTTGTTGATGACTCCATTCTTCTCGTTGTCTAAATATGTAGCCTTTGGAGAAAGGTAAAAAGAAAAATAAGTGGATCCCTGGTTTTATAGAAAAATTAAAATAATAAAAAATTCTTTTGCGAAGAGTATTATTAACCACAACGAAGCTCTTTCCTGCCACCTGTCCTGCCCCAACCTCCCCTCCTAGGACCCTCCCCACATTTTGCTCATTATGGGCACAGTTCAGGCCACAGCTGAGGAGGAGCCAGAGCAGGGACCAGCATGTGGACTGTCCTGCTGGGCACAAATAAAGGACTTCAAACTCAGAGAGGGGACAGAAGAGGGTGTAAGGGCTTCCAGAATGCCTCTCAGTCATCATGCAGTACATGAAGGAACTTCAAAAAGCTCATGGAAAATGGAATTAAAAATTAAGTTTAGGGAGCATGCACACAGTTAGCAGTTAAGATGCCTGTTCCACACTGAACTCTCTGGGTTCAATTCCCAGCTCAGACTCATGCCTTCAGCTTCCCACTAATGCAGAACCTGGGAGGTAGCAGGGGATGGCTCAAGTGACTGGGTCCCTGCCATCCATATGGGAGATCTGGATTCAGTTCTTGGCTACTATCTCTGGCCCTGGCCCAGGTCCAGCCCTAGCTGTTGTGGGCATTTGGGAAGTAAAGAAGTGAATGGATGGTAGCTCTATCTCTCTGAATCTCAAATGAATAAATAGTTTTCTTAAAAAAAGTTAAGTGCCAAGAAGCAAATAAACTTGTAACTTAACTTAAATATCTATATGATTAAGGATAATTTAATAGGGCCACAAAATGCCCTTCTCCAATCCAAACATAATAGCCAATATATCCAAGAGGGATGTCATCTGAAATTGATTTAGATTAATATCCACATAGAAAATGATCTACTACACACTATAAATTAACTATGTCAGATGCTAAAATTAAATAAAGGTGGGCATTTCCTGTAAGATAGCCACTGATAACAGTTTGACTTTCTGGAATGGATAGATAAGACAGAGTTAAATCACTTGCTCCAAGTCACATGGAAAAGCTGGCCTAGGGGCAGGATTAGACATCAAGCCCTCAGTAGATAAGACTATTGTGTCTCTCACAGAAATGTGATAAATGGAAAATGGTGAGACAGTACTTGAGGATTTTAAAGTTCTTTGTAGCCATAGGTGATCAGAGGAAGCTTCCTAAAGCAGAGAAAGAATTCTTTCCTGCTGAGCATGTAAGGGGGTGGGGTGCAGTCTAGAGCTCTCACAGCCTGGGTAATGCAGCTGTACATGGCCCAGAACTAGGACAGGGCAGAGACTAGCAGGGCAACCACCACCAGGCAGACCTGTGCTAGAGGGGGCAGCCCAGGTACTCCAAAGACAAGCAGCCTGCAAGGGGGCGTGTCTACCTGGGCCTGGCTATCTAGGATCTGCAGTGCCCTGCAAAGATGTCCTGACAGCTCCCATGCCCCTCTTTGGATGGACAGTGGGGTCTACGTGTACATAGGTCCTGGTGATGGGTGGAATCAGAATGGATGAAAGCAGTGCCCGAGTCCTACATTTTGGCTGTGAATTTGAGAGGTCTAAAGATTCTACACTGAAGCTTGGCTCTCATGCCATCAGAGGACTGTTATTAACAGCTGTTGGCTTCACTTGTAGCTTTTAAATATTTGTGCATGGGGCTGGTGCTATGGTGTAGTGAGTAGAGCTGCCACCTGTGGCGTCAGCATCCCATATGAGTGCCACTTCAAGTACCGGCTGCCTCACTTCCAATCCAGCTCCCTGCTGATGCGCCTGGGAAAGCAGTGGAAGATGGCCCAAGTCTTTGGCCCCTGCACCCAATGTGGGAGACCTGGAAGAAGCCCCTGGCTTTGGATTAACCTACTTCTGGCTGTTGTAGCCATTTAGGGAGTGAACCAGTGATGGAAGACCTCTCTCCCCCCGTCCATGCCTTTCAAATAAATAAATAAATCTTTAAAAAAAAATTATGCACAGAGTGTGGGATCTCCATTTGTATTTCCATCCCAAGGCCACAAAGATGAGCGATGGATCTAAGGGAGAACCTCAACTTCATCAGGAAGCCCGTGGTGCTCCCGGGACCACAGGAGAGGCACAGGACCTGCCTCCCAGGGATGGGGACCCCTGCAGGTCCTGCCTTGTTAACAAGAGCCTTCATGTTTTGAGTGGCATCAACAGTTGGTGGGCAGGTCGCCAGCAATGTCTGGTAGATAAATGGGTTTGTTTGGCATTTCACATTTTTCAACATGCCCTTTCAATCACATGGTGGGTAACAGAAGGGAAAATGAGCACTTGGTGCCACTACAGAAAATGCCAGTGTTCAGCACTTTGATTGGGTCAGTAACTTGTCAGGACGGGATCAACTGGGTCAGAAGCTCTGGAAGTTTTCAAGTTATCAAGGACTTAGAAATCACTGGTAATATACCAGCAAGCTTACCACACCCCTACCAGCAACTACCGTGATTTAAAAAAATCTCTTAGAGCCAGTGTTGTGGCACATCAGGCCATCAGGCTAAGCCATGGCCTGCAACACTGGCATCCCACATCGGAGCATCAGGGATGCACCTAGGAAGACAGCAGCCAATGGCCACCATGCAGGAGACCAGGATGTTCCTGGCTTCTGGTTTTCGCCTGGACCATCTCTGGCCATTACAGCCATTTGGTGATTGAAGCAGGAATGGACAATGTCTCTGTCAGTCTGCCTTTCAAATAAATAATTAATCTTAAACTAAAAATAAAGAGAAAGTCTTCTGGTTTCTTTTCTAATGTCATTCACTAAACCATTACTCTAATCCTATATGATAAGAGATCTGCGACACTGCTTAAACAAACATGCTTAAATGTGTTCAATGTAGGAAAAAACCACAAAATACAAATAAGTAAAAACAATCTTTTTTTTTAAAGAATCTTTTAAAAAATCACCTTCAAACCCACCCTTGGAGACAACTCATTCTTCCATTTCGGGGGAAATCCTGCAAAACTTTCCCATGCATCTAGCTTGGAAACCATCTGTCTTCTTTTGCTACACACTCTGCTGTAGATGTCTTTTAAAGTCAGTGTGGAGATGCTTCCAATCATGTCCCTGGCCCCACTTTTATTGTAAGATTTATTTATTTATTTGAAGAAGAAAAACAGTGTTTGTGTTATCTGCTATCACTCTCCAAATGGCTGCAATGGCTGTGGCTGGGCCAGATCAAAGTCAAGAGCCTGGAACTGCATCTGAGTCTCCCACAGGGGTGGTGTGTGTATGAATGCCAGGTTATGAATACCACTGTCACTTTGGCTGAACTCTAATCTATGATTCTTATGTTTGGTCTTTTTAATTTTTTAAAAAGATTTATTAATTTGAAAGTCAGAGTTACACAGAGAGAGAAGGAGAAGCAGAGAGTCTTCCATCTGCTGGTTCACTCCCCAATTGGCCACAACAGCTGGAGCTACACCGATCCAAAGCCAGGAGCTTCTTCTGGGTCTCCCACATGGGTGCAGGGGCCCAAGCACTTGGGCCATCTTCCACTGCTTTCCCAGGCCATAGCAGAGAGCTGGATCGGAAGTGGAGCAGCTGGGACTCAAACTGGTGCTCACATGGGATGCCGGCACTGCAGGCAACGGCTTCACCCACTATGCCACAGCGCTGGCCCATTTGATCTTCAAACAGGGAAAATCAGATGGCGTTACAAGGTATATGAAGAGGAGCCGGTACTGTGGAGTAGCAGGTAAAGCCACTGCCTGCAGTGCCGACATCCCATATGGGTGCCGGTTTGAGTCCCAGCTGCTCCTCTTCTGATCCTGCTTTCTGCTATGGCCTGGGAAAGCAGAAGATGGCCCAAGTCCTTGAGCCCCTGCACCTGTGTGGGAGACCCAGAGGAGGCTTCTGGCTCCTGGTTTCAGATCAGCACAGCTCCAGCCATTGCAGCCATGTGGGGAATAAACCAACGGATGGCAGATCTCTCTTTCTCTGCCTCTGCCTCTTGGTAACTCTGTCTTTCAAATAAAATAAATAAATCTTAAAAAAAATATGAAGTTATCTCTGTAGTTATAATAAAGACTAATTCCCTTATTTACCTTCTTATATCATTTACCATTACTGAATAGGTTAATTTGCCTTTTTTAAAAAAAGATGCCAGGGCCAGAGCTGTGGCATAGGAGGTTAAGCCACTGCCTGCAGTACCAGCATCCCATATGGTAGGTGGTTCAAGTCCCAGCTGATCTACTTCTAGCCAGTTCTCTGCCAATAGCTTGGGAAAGCAGTGGAAGATGGCCCAAGCGCTTGGGCCCCTGTACCCACATAGGAAGCTCCTGGCTCCTGACTTCAGACTGGCCCAGCTCTGGCCATTGCAGCCACTGGGGGAGTGAACCAGAGGATGAAGACCTCTCTGTAACTCTGCCTCTCAAATAAATAAATAAATCTTAAAAAAAAAAAAAAAAAAAAAAAAAAAAGATTCCTCCCTCCTTTCATCCTTTGAAAGGCAGAGCATCAGAGACAGAGGGAATGACAGAGAGTGCTATCTTCCACATCCTGGTTCATTCTCCAGTTGGTTCCAATAGCCAGGAGCCTGGAACTTCATCCTGGTCTCCCACATGGGTGGCAGAGATCCAAGTACTTGGGCCATCTTCCTCCACTGCTTTCCCAGGTGTACTAGCAGGAAGCTGGATCAGAAGCAGAACAGCTGGGACTCAAACGGGAACTTCTGACTTGGGATGCCGACATCACAAGTGGCAGCTTAACTCACTGTGGCATGATGCTTGTTAGTAAAATGTCGCAGTCTTATCTATGGGGCAATCTACACCCAACACCATCTTTGGCTCTAGCCCCCGCCACCACTGCTGGAAGCCAGGTGGCCACATGGTCCAACCACAGGTGTCAGCTCCACCCCTATCCTAATGGGATTCGATGCTCCTACCTCCTGCCCACCCCTCCCCCGGCAAAGTTTTAAGAGAACCTGTTCCTGGACACGTGGCTCTCTGTCCTCTTTCTTTCTCTCCGTCTCCTCATATCTCTGTCTCTCTCTCTCATTCTCTCTCTGGAGCTCTCTCTCTCACTCTCCCTCTCTCTCTTTTTCCTTCTTCACCCTTTCCCTCCAGCTCTCGGGTTTCCCCCAATAAACCTTTCACTTACTCTGGTGTTTGGTGTGTTTTGTGGCGGCCTTACAATGCTGGCCCCTATGTGCATTCCAAAAATGTTTTTCCCCATAGTTAAAAGATAAAACTTTACAGAAATTGAAAATATGCATCTGAAATTTCAAAATATGAAGTTCTGAATAGATCATTTAAAATACTCTTAAAATAACACTTGCCTATCAACTAGCAGTTAGTTTACTTGACAAAACTTTGAGGACACTTACCAAAAACCTAAGACTGTCACGTTCCTGGGTTATGCTCTCTGCCAGGTCAACAATGTTTGCCAAGTATTGGTGAGAACACATTTCGTTCCCCAGTGCTTTCTCCACCTGCTTTTTGAGGAGATCAATTTTCTTCCGAGATTTCCTAGAGTGTAGTCCCAAATGATGGAATAACACGTGAGTGCATAACTAAAAGGAGTGGGTGTGCTTATTACAACAGCAAGCAGCTCAGCATTAAATACTGTTCTCCAGGAGCCTAAATCTCCCATTAGGTTCCAAGGGGAGAAAAGGTCAATGAATTTAACTTGAAATCAGGCATAATTATTGACTCCAAATCAAGGTAACAAGAGTCACAAAATGCTTAGTAAAGAATGGCTGATTAAATATTATTCTATAAAACTTTTGGCTCATGTTCTAAGGTACACTTTTGATAAAGGAATTCAGTAATCCCAAAATAGACTTTTGGGAAATGGTTAAGAAGGAACTTCCAGGACTTTGAGTCTTAGCGTCATTATATTAGTTGCATTCGAACTACAGACTTGAGAGACATTGGTTAATGTGAGCCAAGGGAAAAGCTTTTGCTCTATTCATATTCTAATATCCAACAATCTCAATTATTCTTTTCTATTTTACAGCTGCTACCGGGGGGAAAAGACAAAAGAAATGAAATGGAATATTAAAGAAAAAAATATATAAACCTATTTATTTTCTGTGCCTTTTTAAGTTCAGCTTCCAGGGCTTGGTTTTCAGCTGCCAAATTGTTCTTCTCTAAAAGCAGGCTCTTCTGACGTGTTTGCAGAACTGTGAACATTTCCATCAACTCTTCCAAGTCAGCATTTAGTTTCTCATCCTTCTTCTGTAACTGGCTGAAGGAAAAAACAAACAAACAAACAAAACAAAACAAAACAAAAAAACAGCAAGGCTTGTATACTGAGGCTAAAATACGGCAGCTGCACCAGACAAGTGATATGCAGTGCGCCCAGCCCTCTGTGGCCATTTCTCCCATCCCAGGCCCCACTGGCGCTACATCTCACTACTGGAGGACAGGCGAGCAGACATTGCTGGACAGACCCTCCTTTGCTGGCGGTAACCTAACCCTCTTTCTCTGCCAGTTTTTGCTTGTATCTTTGTAGATGTTGTACTTATTTACATCCTATACCTTTCAGAAAACAAATCTAAGACAGCTCAAGTTTTTAGATGGTTTTAACTGCCAGGGGAAAAAATCCTGCAGCCAAAACAAAGTTCATTTCAAAATAATGTCAATATAAGCACATGTTTTTACATATATTTTTAAAGTTTTTAGATTATATTTATTTCCATTTTGTACGAAAGGCAGAGAGACAAAGAATGCTCCATTTGGTGATTTGCTCTACAAATGCCCTACAATAGCCAGAACTGGGCCAGGCTAAAGCAAGGAGCCAGGAACTCCTTCTAGGTCTCCCATGTGAGTGGCAGGGAACCCAAGTATTGGAACTCACCTACTGCCTCCTCCCAGGGTATGCACAGGCGAAGAGCTAGATCAGAAGGAAAGGAGGTGGGACTCAAACCAGGCACTCTGACATGGCGTGAAGGCATTCCAAGCAGCGTCTTAACCACTGCACCAAATACCTAATCTTATAAACACATGGAAACAAAGGAGACGCTTGTTTCTCCTTTGTTTCATTGAACACCAGCTTGGGTGTCGTCAAATTTGCATAGATGGGATTAGGACTGAGTTAGACCAGGTTAAGTTGCTGTATGCTGTGCCAATATCTCCTATTGGAGTGCTGGTTTGAGTCCTGGCTGCTCTGTTTCTGATCTAGCGCTCTGCTAATATGCCTGGGAAAGCAGTGAAAGACGGTCCAAGTACTCGGGGTCCTGCCACCCATATGGAGTACCAGGCTCTTGGCTAAAGCCTGGCCCAGCTCCAGCCATTGCAACTACTTGGGGAGTAAACCAGTGGATGGAAGATCTTTCTCTGTGTCTCTCCCTTTCTCTGTCACTCTGCCTTTCAAATAAATAAATAAATCTTTAAAAACAATTTTTGCATGGATGGCACAGGAGCTGCATACTTGTCATATATAGCAGCAATTCATACTGATAAATTATTATGTTAGTTTATTAACATAACTCCAAAGCATGTAAAATTCAGAATTCAGGACTGTCCAGTGGTTAAGACACCATTAAAATGCCCACATCCCCTATCAGAGTGCCTGGGTCCAGCGCCTGACTCCACCTTACTGCTAATGTGCACCGTGGGAGGCAGCAGGTGAGGGCTCTAGCACCTGGTTCCTGGCACCCACATGGAAGATCCTGGCTTCTAGCTTTGGTCTCCAGTCAACATTTGTGGAGTGAACCAACAGATTGGAACTCTGTTTCTCTCTTTCTCTCTCTCTCTCTCACACACACACACACACTCACTCTCTGAATCCAGAATTCAAGACAGGAGTTGTGGCACGATGGGTTAAGTTACCGCTTAGAACACCCAAATCCCATACTGGAGTGCCTGGTTTGAGTCCTGCATCCAGTTCCAATCCAGCTTCCTGATGATGTGCACCCTGGGAGGTAACAGATATTAGTTTAAGTACTTGAGTGCCTGCTACCTATATGGGAGACCCACATGGAGTTCTTGGCTGCTGGCTTTGGCCTGGCCGAGTCCTAGTTGTTGTGGTCACTGGAGCACTTTGATATGGGCCCCTGGATTTCTTCTTCTTCTTCTTTTATTTTTTTTAAGATTTATTTATTTATTTGAAAAGCAGAGTTATGGAGAGGCAGAGAGAGTGAGAGAGAGAGACAGAGATAGGTCTTCCATCCACTGGCTCACTGCTCAAATGGCTGCAGCAGCCAGAGCTGGGCCAATTTCAAGCCAGGAGCCTAGAGCTTCTTCCTGGTCTTCTACATGGGAACAGTGGTCCAAGTACTTGGACCATCTTCTTCTGCTTTCCCGGGCACATTAGCAGGGAGCTGCATCAGAATTGGAGCAGTCGGGACTTGAACCGGCACCCATATGGGATGCCAGCACTGTAGGAGGCAGCTTTACCCGCTACATCACAGAACCGGCCCCTTTAGGTTGGTTTTTAATCATTATTTTCTCTATATGAGTTTAGAAATTATAGTAGCCTCCCCTTATCCAGTTTTGCTTTCTGAGGTTTCACTTACCCATGGTCAATTACCAGATGGAAAATTCTAGAAATAAACAATTCTAGGGTAGGTGTTTAGCTGGTGTTTGAGTCAGGGCACTCATGTCCCACATCAGACAGTGGCAGGTTTCAATGCCCACCTCTGTTTCCTGACTCCAGCTCCCTCCTAAGACCTTGGGAGGCAGAAGGGACAGCTCAAGTGACTGAGTGCCTGCCACCCACGTGGGAGACCTGAAAGCACTCCTGGCTTCTGGCTTTGGCCAAGTTCAGCCCTGGACACTGCAGGCATTCAAGAGGGTAAGCCAATGATGGGAGCTCTTTCATCTTTTTTTTTTTTTTTTTTTTTTTTAAAGGATGTAATTACTTTTTTGAAAATCAGAGTTACAGAGAGAGAGAACTTCCATCTGCTGGTTTACTTCCCAAATGGCCACAATGGCCAGAATAGGGCCAGTCTGAAGTCAGGAGCCAGGAGCTTCTCTGGGTCTCCCACGTGGGTGCAGGGGCCATCCACTGCTGCTTTCCCAGGCACATTAGCAGGGAGCTGCATCAAAAGTAGAGCAGCCGGGACACAAACCAGCTCCCAAATGGGATGCTGTCACTGCAGACAGTAGCTTAACCTGCTGTGCCACAGTGCTGGCCCTGGGAGCTCTCTATCTCCATATTTTTTTTTTTTTTCAAAAAAGAAATAAACAATAGTTTTAAATAACTTTTATTACAGCACGTTATAATTGTTCTATTTTATTACTATCATTGTTAAATGTCCACAATGGTTAGGGCTAGGCCAGCCTGAAGCTGGAAGCTAGGAAGACAATCCAGGCCTCCCGTGTGTGTAGCAGGACCCTACCTACTTGAGCCAGCACCACTGCCTCCCAGGTTCTGCACTGGCAGGAAGCTGGGGCAAGGAGCAGGGGCTGGGACTGGTGCTGGGATTCAAACCCAAGCACTCTGCTAGGGGCGCTGCTGGGCCCAACGCCTGCCTCTTGAAAGTCTTTTCTTTGGTGATGAATTTTTAGGTGTTTTGTTTGCTTTCCAGCACTCTGAAGCTAACACTCAGTAGCTGCAGTATCCCCTGCTGACTGCCGCACAGCCTGTTGTACTGCAGCCCTTGGAGGGAATGCACTTCCTGCAGTCTCACTGACATGCCTGCCTGTGTGTCTGCTGGGCCAGCACTGTCCCTGTACTGCCGTCTGTCTTCAGCTAGGGAGATTCTCAGCCTCACATCTCTGGCCAGTCCTTCTGATTCAACGGGCCCTTACAACACTCACTGCCTCTGACCTACTGACCATTCCAAGCCATTCTGTGGTTATTTGCTTCTGGCCTTTTTTAGCTCATAAATTCACGCCTCATCTATATCTAACCTATGGTTAAGCCCATTTATTCTGAATTTTGGTGACTGCATTTTTCAGTTCTAAAAACTATGTATTCAAGTGATTTTCCTCTGCCAAAGAGAATCTCATGTGACATATTCAATGGCTGCATTTTATACCATGCTATGGCTACATCCTTCCATTTGACCAGTTCTGTTACTAGATGTCGATTAGTGTTCTTCAAAATGTTCACAGAAATGCACATTATGAAAAAACTGCATATGGATTTTTTAAAAGATTTGTTATTTAAAAGGTTTTGTGTGTGTGTATGTGTGTGTGTGTTATGTGAGGGAGGGAGAGAAAGAAAGAGGGAGAGAGGGGCCGGTGCCATGGCTTACTTGGTTAATCCTCCGCCTGCAGTGCCGGCATCCCATATGGGCGCCGGGTTCTAGTCCCCGTTGCCCCTCTTCCTGCCAGCTCTCTGCTGTGGCCCGGGAGTGCAGTGGAGGATGGCCCAAGTGCTTGGGTTCCTGCACCAACATGGGAGACCAGGAGGAAGCACCTGGCTCCTGGCTTCGGATCAGCACAGCGCCGGCTGTAGCGGCCATTTGGGTAGTGAACCAACGGAAGGAAGACCTTTCTCTCTGTCTCTCTCTCTCACTGTCTGTAACTCTGTCAAATAAAAAAAAAAAAAAAGAGAGGGAGAGAAGAGAGAGAGAGAGAGAGCAAGAGACAGAGAAAGGTAGAGTTCATCCATCATCTGGTTCACTCCCCAAATGGCACCAAGAACTCCATCTGGATCTTCCACCTGGTATCAGGAGCCCAAGCACTTGGGCGCTGCTTTCCCAGATGCATTATCAGGGAGCTGGATGTGAAGTGGAGCAACTAGGACTCAAAACAGCACTCTGATATGGGATGCCAAAATTGTAGACAGCTTTGCCACACTGCTGGCCCCTGCACACGGATTTAAAATTGTTCATACCAAAATAAACTTTTTGTTTTTTTGACAGGCAGAGTGGACAGTGAGAGAGAGAGAGACAGAGAGAAAGGTCTTCCTTTATCGTTGGTTCACCCTCCAATGGCTGCTGCGGCCAACGCGCTGCGGCTGGTGCACCACGCTGATCCGAAGCCAGGAGCCAGGTGTTTCTCCTGGTCTCCCATGCGGGTGCAGGGCCCAAGCATTTGGGCCATCCTCCACTGCACTTCCAGGCCACAGCAGAGAGCTGGCCTGGAAGAGGGGCAACTGGGACAGAATCCGGTGCCCCGACCAGGACTAGAAGCCGGTGTGCCGGCGCTGCAGGCGGAGGATTAGCCATTGAGCTGCAGTGCGGGCCAATAAACTTGTTTTTAATTCCATTTTTCCATGAACTTTTTTTTTAAGGGCTCTTGTTGTTTTCTAGGTCTACTACCTTATTTATTTATTTATTTATTCTTATTTTAATTTCTGCTGAAATGCAGAGATACAGAAGGAGAGAGATCTTCCATGTGCTGGTTTACTCCTTAAATGCCTGCAACAGCCAAGGCCAGCCAGGCTGAAGCCAAGGGTCTAAAACTCAACCCAGGGCTGCCTCCCAGGGTGTGCATTAAGAGGAAGCTGATTGAAAACACAATTGCCAGGACCTGAACCAGGTACTCCGACATGGAATGTGGGTGTCTCAAGTGGCGACTTAACCACTGTGTCAAACACCTACCCTAAGTTTCACTACTTTAAATTATCTTTGATTCTAAAACTAATAAAGGCAGAGACAGCAGGAGGGAAAAACACACATACCAAGAGCAGACTGAAGCTCTCTAGGACATCCAGGTTCTCCATTAGTAAAATAGTACCATTCTCACCCACGACACCAGTGCTGGGATAGGTTTTTAAAAACTCAGAAAAAGACCAAGCAACCTCTCTCCACTCTGCTTATAACAATACACACAGTGACTCATTAATACAGGCAGAGACTTAAATCCTTACCTCTTTAATTTATTTACAATCAGTGTATGAACTTCTGCGTTGATTGTGCCCTCCAGGTGTGTTTTGAGTTCCTGGCACTGAGCTTGTAAAATTTCCACCTGCTCCTTAGTGGCACAGAGCTCCTTTTCCTGGGTCTGTGTTGTAGTTTCCAGCAGCGTCAGTTTTTCAGTCAGCTTAGAGACTGAAAAGCAAAGAGAAGGATGCAGACTTACATGGAAGGGCTAGTGATATACTTATACCAATGCAACTCGGCTTATCAAATGTCCTCTTCAAAACTCTTTTGGAGAGTTACACATTAATACTAAGAGCCTGGCTCATGGAAATGACTGTGTTTATATTAAGCATTCACTAAATACACAGTCATGGGTTCTACATCCAGGGACTCGACTGATCAGAGATCAAAAATATCTGGAAAAAGAAATTATGCCTCTACTGAACATGCACAGCTTTATTTTTATTTATTTCATTTATTTGAATGGCAGAGAGATAGTGAGAGAAACAAAGATCTCCTATCCACTGGCTCACTTCTCAAACGCCTACAACAGCCAGGGACGGGCAAGGCCAAAGCCAGGAGCTGGAAAACCAACCCAGGTCTCCCAAATGGACAACAGAGATTCAGTCACTTTGCCTGTTGCCTCCCCTGCACACCAGCTGGAAGCTGGAATCAAGATCAGATCCAGGACTCAAGCCTAGACACTCTGATATGGGATGTGGGCATTGCAAGAAGCATCTTAACTGCTATACCAAATGCCCACCCAACGGATTTTTCTTGTCATTATTCCCTTTAAAAATATAGTATAACAACTATTTACACAGTCTTCATATTTCACTGGGTACTGTAAGTAACCAGAGATGATTTAAGGTATGGGGAGGGTATATGTAGTTCTATGCACATCCAGTACCAGTTCTACAAGAGACAGGAGCATCTGAGGATCTTGGTTTCCATTGAGGGTGGCAGGGAGGAAGGGGAGTTGTTAAGGAATCAGTCCCTAAGCACATTAAGTACATTTTTATACTAGGGCTCACTATAATATTTATAAGATATGATTCCAGTCTCTAAAGAACTGACTTTCCAAAGACTGATGCCTTAAACCACATACAGATATGGAAGCACTTATCACGATACCACTAAAACTGCAAGGTTTTCAAGATTTTCAAGGACATAACACACGGCCAAACTCAGAACCAAATTTATTCTTCTTCTGTTTTTCATGTCTTATGTCCTGTATTTAAAGGAAGACATGCAATGGGCATTTGGTGCAGTGGTTAAGTTGCCACTTGGGACACCCACAACCCCATATCGAAGTGCCGGGGTTCGAGTCTTGGCTCCTCTGCTTCCAGTCCAGCTTCCTCCTAATGTATATCCTGGGGAGACAGATTTTGGCTCAAGTACTTGACTCCCATGTGGGAGACCTGGCTGGAACTCCGAGTTCCTAGCACTTGAGGAATGAACCAGAGGATGGAAGAGCTCTCTCCATCTGTCTCTCACATTCATTCAAAATAAAATGAAGAAAGGTAAATCATAAATATTTTTATCCTACATGACAAGGCAGTATGTAATAAGACATTCTCTGAGGCCGGCGCCGCGGCTCACTAGGCTAATCCTCCGCCTGCGGCGCCGGCACACCAGGTTCTAGTCCCGGTCGGGGCGCCGGATTCTGTCCCGGTTGCCCCTCTTCCAGGCCAGCTCTCTGCTGTGGCCCGGGAGTGCAGTGGAGGATGGCCCAGGTGCTTGGGCCCTGCACCCCATGGGAGACCAGGAGAAGCACCTGGCTCCTGCCATTGGATCAGTGCGGTGCGCCGGCTGCAGCGCGCAGGCCTCGGCAGTCATTGGAGGGTGAACCAACGGCAAAGGAAGACCTTTCTCTCTGTCTCTCTCTCTCACTGTCCACTCTGCCTGTCAAAAAAAAAAAAAAGGCATTCTCTGGGCATGCTTACACTAGCACTTCGGAATGCTACAGCATAGAACTTTACATCTTTCTACTCAATGGAGACATGTAATTGATTAGAATGAACAGCTGCTTCCAGGGAAAACAACATTGGATTGCTGTTTGAATCACATAAGCCTGTCCCATGCAACTGGAAGAATCATTATATCCATTCAGATCTGTTATATTTGGGAAAATTAAGTTCAGCATATAAATAAGTAATTTCCCCATCATCTCTAATCCTGAAAACAAAGACAGGAGGCTCAACAACTTGTCCTCCAGCCCCAAGAACACCAAGTGCTACAGTTTGGATGTGCTTTGTTGCTTGGAGGTTTTTGTGCTGGAAGCTCGGTCCCCAGTGTAGTGGTTCTGGGAGGTAGTGGAATCTTTCAGTGGGACTTGGTGGAAGGTGGTTAGGTCACAAGGGGCATGTCCTTGGAAGAGATTAATGTAGTTCTCTCCAGGCCCTGGTTAGTTCCTGCAAGAGTCAGTTGTCAGTTGTCACTGGCTCTCACATACACATTCCCACCGTTGTGATGGCATTAGCCATGGGGTTCCCACCAGAGGCTAAACCAGTGGGACAGCTAATCCGGGACTTTCAGCCTCCAAAACTGAGTTAAATAAACCTCTTCTCTTTCTTTTTATTATTTATTTGAAAGGTAGAGTAACAGAAAAAAATAGAAAGAGTAGAAAGAGTGAGCCAGCTTCCAAATAAGCCACAACAGCGAGGGCAGGGCCAGGTCAAAGCCAGGAGCCTGGAGCATCATCTCGAGCCATAGCCTACTATCTCCCAGGGTGCACATTCAGCAGTAACCTGGATTAGAAGCAGAGCAGGGACTCAAACTCTGGCACTGTGGGGTCCTAAGCGGCATCTTCAGTGCTGAGCCGAATGCCCACAGCAGCCTCCTTTCTGTATAAAATAACCAGCTTCAGGTATTTTGTTACAGGAGAGAGCATGGAGTAAGAGTAAAGGCAAGTACCCCAAGCTCACGTAGACCTATGGAGAAGCCGTCTGGAGGAAACTCCTGTGGGACTCTTTCTCCAAGTGCTCTCATGTTTAAACGTGGTGTCATTATCAGAAACAGGTGCAATGCTAGCCTGGTAGCTTCAGCAACAGGAAGTATTAGCTTCACAGTGTGGAAGGGGGACTCATTACACACACAGGTGCAGAAAGGAAAACAGGAAGGAGGGGGTTACACTGGCTCATGCAAGGCAGCTGGTAGTTCAGCTTCCTGTCCTGCACTATTCTTTACTGGAAAAGAAAATCAGCAAAGCAACAGAAAAATGCTACTACTCTCTCAGGCTCATAAATTTGGGTTTTCATCAGAGCATAGGAAATAGCTCTTCAAGTGGGCCACTTGGAAGTCCACAGTCACATGCTATGAGGACCCGCTGCCGGGAGGGAAGCACAGGGAAGGTATCTGATGGAGGTCTAATCCCCAGAGATGGAAGCCACAATGTTCCCACCAGTGGAGGAAGGAAGGAAAGAGCACAGAGCCAGTGTTTAGAGTATAAACTGTTCTAATTATTTACTCATTCCACAAATATTTGGAAAGGGATTCTTGTGTTATTTCAAGAATTTTACCTCACATGATTTTTCCCACTTTTCAGGCACTGTTTACTCTAAAACCAGTTCTGTTGAGTCTGTCACCTACAACTGATCACAAAAACACACAGACTGATTAGAGACACGGTGGAGTCTAAGAAAGCAACCATGCATGAAGTGAAATGACCACAAATGTTATAAATAGCTGCATTTCAGTAAAGAACATGTGAAGTGGAGCTGGCGCTATGGTGTAGCGGTGCTGTGGCTGCTCCACTTCTAATCCAGCTCTCTGCTGTGGCCTGGGAAAGCAGTAGAAGATGGCCCAAGTCCTTGGGCCCCTGCACCTGCATGGGAGACCTGGAAGAAGCTCCTGGCTCCAGATCAGCACAGTTCCTGCCATTGTGGCCAATTGGGGAGTGAACCAGCAGATGGAAGACCTCCCCTCCCATTTCCTTCTCTTTCTGTGTAACTCTGACTTTCAAATAAATAAATCTTTAAAAAAAAAAAAAAAAAAGTGAAGGTGCTCCAAAGGTTCTACTCTGCTGTAAAACATGTTTGAATTCCATGTGTTTTCATAATAGGCATTTTCTATGAACTTCCTGAATATCCGTTGTAGGCATGAATTTCAAATATTTTTTGCACAAAAATAAACAACTTTTAATCCTATTTTCTATGACCTTTTGGGAGTACCTCCATATTCTAAAAAACTTGATTGGGGTGGGCACTGTGGTACAGCAGGTGCCACATCCCATATAGGAGCACTTGGTTCAAGTCCCAGCTATTCTGCTTCTGATTCAGCCTTCTGCTAAAGTGCCTGGGGAAGGCAATGGATAATAACTCAAGAACTTAGATCCCTGCCACCCATGTAGGAGAGACCTGGATGGAGCTGGTATAGCCCCAGCTGTTGTGGACATCTGGGAAGTGAACCAGTGAATGGAAGATATCCCCCCCACCATTCTACCTTTCAAATAAATGAATCAATAAATACATTTTCAAAGAAAAAATAACCAAAACATGGTTTCTCCCATTTCCAGTGAGACAACAGTGACATCACACCATCACCACCGGAAAGACCTTACCTTCTTGGCAATGCTCCTCATGGGTGTCTGTGGCTTTCCTTTGCTGGACCTCCAACTGCTCCAGTAATAGCTTGTTTTCCTCTAAAACCAGTTCTGCTTGAGCCTGAAGCTGGTGCCTATAATTGATTGACAAAATCAAACATTGCCAGTGAGGTACTGAATGACTACAGAAACACTGCACAGTCAAAAAGAAAGCAACGGATGTGTTGTAGGTAATGAATGTCTGGCCAGGTTTCAATGTTGAAGACATCACTAGTACAGCAAATCCTGCCATTTACACTTAATAGGAGAAAGAAATGCAACGAAGTTTGGACTATTAATTGTTCCAGTGACTTTTTCCAGATACGATAGTTCAAACATACAAAAATAAAGAGAATAATAAAGTTCCATGTATGCAATACCTAGCTTATACCATCAAATAGCCAATCTTGCTTCATCTGTATAAATCTCTAATCCCCCTCCCACTGAATTATTTTGAAGGCCATATGGAATATTTGTAAAGATCTCAGAATGTTCTCATTTTCTTTAACAATTTTATTTATATGAAAAGCAAAGAGATAGAAAATGTCAGACAGAGAGAGATCTTCCATCCGTTGGTTTACTCCTTAAATGCCGTTAATAGCTGTGGCAGGGCCAGGTCAAAGCCAGGAGGCTGGAACTCAATCCTGGTCTCCCACATGCTGGCAGAGTCCCAAGTGCTTGAGCTATCACCACTGTCTCCCAGAGTGTGTGTTAGCAGGAAGCTGGAATTGGAAAGTCGAGTTGGCACTTAAACCCAGGGACGTGGAATCTCAAGTGGCATCTTTAATTGCTATGCTTAATGCCCCCTCCAAATTTCTCATTTTAGTTAAAAAATACTCATGATCTGTAGTGTATTTGCTGAAAAATGATTATTTTGTTAGAAGGCTTTGAAATGGTTTTTAAAGCTGCAAATACACCCCAGCTTTAATTCTGCTTTCTTTGCAGATGGTGCAATTGAAATTTTGGCCCAACTAAATCTTCTGATTGCAAATTCCAATCAGAATGAGCTGAAGGGACCTTAGAAATCATCTAGTTAAATGTTTACCACTCAAAGTACATAGTAAAACAGTAACCTATCTTGATTTTCCACTTTAACTCAAAAGGTCAGGTAGAAGGAGAATAAAAGTGAGGGTCTGGGGCTGGTGTTTTGGTGCAGAGTTAAGCTGCAGCCTGCAATACTAGCATCCCCTGTGAGTGCTGGTTCAAGTCCTGGCTGCTCCACTTCCAATCCAGCTCCCCGCTAATGCACCTGGGAAAGCAGCTGGAGATGGCTCAAGTAGTTGGGCCCCATGCCACCAATATGGGAAACCTGGATGGAGTTCCAGGCTCTTGGCTTTGGCCTGGCCCAGCCCCGGGCACCATGGCCATTTGGAGAATGAACTAGAGGATGTGAGATCTCTCTCTGTCTCTCCCTCACTCTGCCTTGCAAATAAATAAATACATCCTAAAAAAAAAAAAAAAAAAAAAGGAAGGAAGGAATATCTAGCAATATATAAGCTATAGCAATGACTTCATCCCAATGGTGGCTGTGCACTGGCTGCTTGGTGCTATGGAGGTGTCCCTACTTGCTATCAGCACCCATGGTTGGGTGGAGGGTGCTGCCATGCTCTCCAGGAGGCGAGCTCAACCAAGCTGTTCACTCCAGCTCCTCATTCCTGCCTCAAACAGTGCTCTACTTTGGTCTGTTTTACATTCTGAACTTCCTTAGATGACTTTTCCTTCCTCCCTCTCTCCATCCCTATTATCTCTCCCTTTATTCCATTCTTTTTCATTAAAATGTTTAAAATTTATTTGAAAGGCAAAGAGACAGAGATCTTTCACCTGCTGGTTCACTCTCCAAATGCCCACACCAGCCAAGGCTAGACTAAGTTGAAGCCATAAGCTGGGAATTCATCTGGGTCTCACGTGTGGATGGTCGGGACCCAAGTAAACACTTGAGCCATCACCTGCTGCCTCCAAAAGTATTCATTAGCAGGAAGCCGCAATCAGAAGTGGAGATAGGACTGCAATCCAGACACTCCGATATGGGATGTAGGTGTCCCAAGCAGCAGCTTAACCACTGAGCCAAATGCCTGCTCCTTATTTATTTGAAAGGCAGAAATATAGAGAGAAGAAGAGAAGGAGGGAGGTGGATGGGGGAGAGAGAGGGAGAGAGAGGGGGAGAGAGGGGGAGAGAGGGGGAGAGAGGGGGAGAGGGTTGCCACATCTGTGCAGGAAGAGGAAGCAGCCAGGAGACTCAGGGGAGGAGCTACTGTGGGGGGAGAGGGGGAGAGGGGGAGAGGAGGAGAGGAAGAGAGGGGGAGAGGGAGGGGGAGAGAAGGAGAGAGGGAGAGAGGGAGAGAGGGAGAGAGGGCGAGAGGGCGAGAGGGAGAGAGGGTTCCCACATCTGTGCAGGAAGAGGAAGCAGCCAGGAGACTCAGGGGAGGAGCTACTCAGGGGAGGGCTTCACATGGTCACCCCACAGCCTATGACCCCTTCCCCCCAGCTAGAGGAAAGCAAATTCAAAGTAAGGGGAAGTTCAGCTAGGGAGGATTGGGAAACAGCAGAGCTGTGGATTGCAAAGTAGGGGATGTCAGGGCCAGTGCTGTGGCACAAGTTAAGCTGATATCTGCAAAGCCAGCATCTCATACAAGCACCGGTTCAAGTTCCGGCTGCTCTACTTCCAATCTAGCTCCCTGCTAATATACTTGGGAAGATGGTCTAAGTGTTTGAGCCCCTGTCATCCACATGGGAGACCTGGATAGAGTTCCAGGCTCCTGGCTTTGGTCTGCTCCAGTCCCAGCCATTGATGCATTTGGGGAGTGAACCAGCTGATGGAAGATCTCTTTCTCTCTGTCTTCCCCTGTCTCTAGCTGTGCCTTTCAAATAAATAAATAAACCTTAAAAGCAAAACAAACAAACAAACAAAAAGAAAGTAGGGGATGTAATTGTTACGTTTAAGGAAAAATAAACAGGTTCATCTATAGTTATAAACAAGGTTAAAGAAAGAATCTGAGGTCATAGGTTCTCACAAAGGCTCTTAGAAAACACAAGAGCCCATCTGACTGAGCTGCTTCCCAAGGAAGGTTTTGGGGGAAGACGTTTTAGGCATCCTGACAGAATCCAAGTTCTACAAAAGTCACAGTGCCACAAGATCCATACCTGTCCAGGCCAGAGTCAAGTGACATACCAGTGACCAGAAAATCAGGGTGAACTGACCTAACAGTGGGACTGCCATTGACTCAACTCCAGATTTCTGGATGTCACATATGGAAAACACTTCATTTTTTCAGTATGTTAAAACCTTTCTAAAAAACTAAATATAGAGCAGGCATTTGATATGGCAGTTAAGACACCACTTGGGACAACCACATGGCATATTTTGGAGTGCCTCTCTCAAGTCTCAGCCTTGCTGTGGATTCTAGCTTCCTGCTGATGCACGCCCTGGGAAGCAACAGTGATGGCTCAGGTAGCTGGGTCACCACCACGTGGGAGATCAGGATTGAGTGCTCAGTTCCTGGCTTTGGCCTGATCCAGTCCTGGCTATTGCAGGGATTTGAGTAGTGAACCAGCGGATAAATGTTTTGTCTTTCAAGTACATGAAATTAATCAGTTTTTAAAACAAAATATAACATACCTATCACAAGTGAATGATTTTCATTTTCTTTGTCTAGCATGAATATGGCCTTTAGACTTGCAAAGACATTTACTTCCTCTGGTTCTATGTAATGGGCATTCGTTGCAGCGGTACTAGCCGTGGGGTCACACACAAAATGGACTGTGGGGATGGCTGGCCTTGAGGAGTTCACCAAGGAGAAGCAGGAGACAGAGAGGACAGATAGACATAGAGTGGCAGGGTCAGGGCCAGGGCTGTGTTTTGGGCTACGCTGGCAACAGACAATGAAGCACTGACTCGGCCCCTCCTGAAGGGAGAGCTACTGTCGGGCAGGGCTGAGGGCAGGACGTGGCACAGATAACAGGACAGAAGAAAGGTGACCTATGTCATCAGGGAACCAGCGGCAGATGGGAGCTGGCTGAGCAGGCCTCATCCTGGGCTTTCTGTCTCAAAGCCCTGGGAGCCACATGAGGGGTCTAAGGTTTGGGGTGGGAAAATCACCCTAGGAAAACCCCCAGCTCAGAAAACAGAAATAGAGAGAGTTGCAGTGATTTCAGGTTTGAGAACCTATTTAAAATTCTAAAATTCATCTTCAAAATATAAGTTTAGGATGTCATTATACCTTATTCATTTCACTCTTAAAATAGTCTAACTCACCAAGACCAGACAATGCATTTATGAGTTCAATAATTACATAAAGTTCATTCCTGCTAGCCTTTGTTTTAAATTAGCAAAACACCAGAAACGCAACACCACTTGCCATTCCTCGCAGGACACAGGACTGCTCTTTTTTAACTCCTGGTGCAGCACTTCATTTTCTTTCACCACTTCTTGGACTCGCATCCTAAACATTCTCATTTCCTCCTGAAACAAAAGTTATGTACATTGTAATACACACAACACACATCTATAGTTCTTAGTCCTACTGTGTTCTGTGGCTGAAAACATCAATAACCTTCGAACAAAGTCTCATGGCAGCAATGGCCTTAAACTCTGGACCCCAGCACCACGTGCCTGCTCTCAGGGAGAAAACACAGTAACCACCACAGCCACGTACAAAGGAGAAGAATGCTGGGTCTCAAATAATTCCTAAGGTGACAGCATTTCTATTACTGCCAAATACTTGAAAAATTTATTTATTTATTTGAAAGGCAGAGTCACAGAGAAAGAAGCAGAAAGGGGTTTTTCATACACTGGTTCACTCCCCACATGGCTTCAACAGCCAGGAGCTGGGGGCCTCCTCTAGGTCTTCCACACAGGTACAGGAGCCCAATGACTTGGGCCATCTTCCACTGATTTTCCAGGCCATGGCGGAGAGCTGGATTGGCAGTGGAACAGCAGAGATTCAAACTGGCACCCACATGGGATGCTGGCACTGCAGGTGATGGCTTTACCCACTACATCACAGCACTGGCCCCTTGAAAACTTTAAAGGGGATTTAAAACAGCAGAGTGCCCATAAACACCATAAATCTTCCTTTGTTTAGGGCTGGCATTGTGGTGCAGTGGGCTAAGCCACTCTTGTAACACGAGCATTTGTGTGCTGGTGCGAGTCTCAGTTGCTCTGCTTCTGATTCAGCTTCCTGCTTATCACCTGGAAAAGCAGTGGAAGATGGCCCAGGTGCTTGGGTCCCTGCCACCCATGTGGGAGACCCAGATGGAATTCCAGTCTCCTGGCATTGACCTGACACAGCCCTATCCATTGCAGACATTTGGGGGGTAAACCAGTGGACCGAAGATCTCTCATTCTGTCTCTCCCATTTCTGTCACTCTGCCTTTCAAATAAATAAAATAAATATTTGAAAAAAAAGCTTTTCCTTTGTTTAAGGACATTGGGGGGCTAGTGCTGTGGCATAGTGGGGTAAGCCTCTGCCTGTGGTGCCAGAATCCCATAGGGGCACAGGTTCATGTCCTGGCTGCACCTCTTTCGATCCAGCTCTCTGCTATGGTTCTTGGAAAAGGAGTGGAAGATGGCCCAAGTGCATGGGCCCCTGCACCCATGTGGGAGACCCAGAAGAAGCTCCTGGCTCCTGGCTTCAGATCGATTCAGCTCCAGCTGTTGCAGTCACGTGGGGAGTAAACCAGTAGATGGAAGACCTTTCTCTCTGTCTATCCCTCTGTAATTCTACCTCTCAAATAAATAAAATATTAAAAAGGAATTTGGAAGATAAATTGGAGTTCTTTATATAAAAGTAAGAACTTTCCATCACTAATTAAGCTGTTTGGGTGGAGAAGAGGTTGGTTGGTGCGGGGGCTGGAGGTTCTTATTTTGTTCCACGGCAACCACAAGAAAGCCTCTTCTTTAAAGTCACTACAGCAGATGACAGTGCAAGTGCTTGAGGCCCTGCTGAACACATGGAGACCCAGATGGCGTTCCCAGCTCCAGGTCTCAGCCTGGCCCAACCCCAGCTGTTGTAGCCTTTTGGGGGATAAACCAGTGTGTGGGAGATCGTTCTCTATCTGCCTTTCAGATAAATTAAACATTAAACACAACCACAACAAAGTGGGATTGGGACAGAGCCACGCCTATCGTCTGCACACCGTCCACAGCAGCTTCCAAGCTACAATGGCGGAGCTGAGGACTTGTAAACGGAGGCTGAGTAGCTCACAACGCCTGAAACGTTTATTAACCGTCCTTTTGCAGTGCTGACTTCAACTCAGAAGGAGTACCAAACGGCACTTTTATTATTAGGATGAATTTTTAAGCAGTTAGAAGATTAATTCAGCCTCTTAGAAAATTAAGTATGGAGCGGTATTGAGGCACAGTGGTTAACTTTTCCTTATAAGTTCTTACTTTTATTTTTTTAATTTCAGAGGTCAAGAAATGAGTGTGTGTGTAGAGTTGGAATAGGAGTAGGGAGACAGACAGCTAACATATGCTGATCACTCCCCAGATGCTTGTAATAGCCAGGAGAGAGAGAGAGAGGAAAACAAACAAACAAGACAGAGAGCTCCCATCTGCTGATCACTCCCCAAATGGGCTGGGCTAAAGCTGGGATCTAGGAACACAACCTAGTTCTTCCACATGGGTAGCAGGGAGGTATCACGGCTGCCTCCCAGGGTCTGTTCTGGCAGGAAGCTGGAATCAGGAGTCGAACCTAGGTACTCCAGCATGGAATGTGCGTGTCTGAACCGCTAGGTCTTAGGACTCTTTCAGCTCACAATCCTGCAGAAACTACTACACATCCCTCCTTGGATCCTTCCCATTCCAACGGTCCCTAAATGAGGAACCCAGAGGAATGCATCACAGAAAGGTAGGAGCTGCACCTACAACGCCTACACAGGCTTGGTCTCCCGCATAACTGGAATGCGCTCTGCTGCCAGAAGCATTCCCACCAAGCAGAGGGGAAGGAGGCAGAAGAGAACAAAACCCCACTTCCTGGAGTGAGTGTTTAGCCTAACAGTTAAGATGCCTGTGTACCACACTGGAGAAAATTCCTGGCTCCAACTCTGGTTCAGTCTTCCTACTAATGCAGATCATGGGAGACAGCAGTGAAGGCTCAAGTAACTGGGTTCCTGCTACCCACTGTGGAGACCTGGATTGCATTCCTGGCTCCTGGTTTCAACCACATGGCCATTGCAAGCATTTGGGAAGTGAACCAGTGGATGGGAGTACTCCATTTCCATCTCTCAAAAAATAAAACAAGACAGCTCACTCCCCAACCACTTCCAACAGTTCAATACCCGGACTTCCCTGGAATCAGCTCTTCTAGAATTAAGAAGCATCTAAGGGGACAAGCATTTATCACAGTGGTTACAATACTCACATCCCATTTCAGAGTGGCTGGTTCAAGTCTTGGGTTTGCTTCTGAGTCCAGCTTCCTGCTAATGGGTACCCTGGGAGGCAGGTGATGGCTCAAGTACCTGAGTCCCTGCCACCCACATGGGAGACCTGAATTGAGTTTCTAGCGTCCCACACTGTCTTGACCCAGTCCCAGTCATAGGGAGCATTCGGAGAATGAGCCAGGGAATGAGTTCTCTCTCACTCTCATTTTCTTTTTCTCTCTCTCTAAAAGAGAGAGAAAGAAAGAAAAAGAGAAAGAAAAAAAGGAGGGAGGGGAACATCATCTAAGATTGTCCAAATCATCCCAACTGATTACCTTCCCCTGCCTGCCCATTATCTCCCTCTTAATGGTGCTGGTTGCAGCTGCACAGTCCCAGGAGAGAAATGTCTCCCATTGCTGCTTCCTCTGCACTCCAAGGTCCCGGTCCTGCCTGTTCAGGAAACCGCAGCCTCCAATGCAGCCCGACTCGGTCCCTCCCTCCCTCTTTCCATGATCCCTACTCACCCTGCCCCTGCTCTGTCAATCACTCCTTCCCTCCCTTATATCCTAACACACTCCTTCTTCACTTCCTCCTTACTGTCCTTTAACAAGCCTTTAGAGTATCTACCACATGTTGAGCACACCTAGCTCCAACACATTTCCTCCAAATTTGAAACCATCTGACTTCTTATAAACTTTGTCTCTTCTGAGATACTGCCAACCTACCTCAAGGGTGGCATTCAGCTCATCCTTCTCTTTCATTCTGTCCTCATAAGCCAACAACAATGGAGACAGGTACTTTATATCCAACTGAAGAGAATGGAACAAAAGATGATTACTATATTTCTTACACACACACAATCAGCAATTTAAAAAAAAAAGGCAAGAAAATACACTTATTTTGGAACAGTGTTTAATAGCCATGCATATATAGTCCAGAAAATATGAGGATGAAAATGAATAACGTTTACTTACCAACCAGGGTGGTATAGGGCCCTTTGATGGGAGGCCTTCAATAGTTAAACTCTAAGAAGGAAGCACACATTGAAGACAAATTAAGCTAAACCTCCTCTGAAATGTCAGGTCTTACATATTAATCTACAATAGGCATCATCCACCTAAACAGGTAAAAAAAAAATCTTTGGCTGCAATGTTTGAGAGTAATTTATAAATACAAGGCCCCCTTTCCTCTAAATAGTATATATTTCCTAAGAACAAAACTTTTCACTTACTTCACCACAGTGTCATCATAAAATCAAGAAACATTGCTATAACACTGTTTTCTAACCTAGGGGACTATCTTCCAACTCACGTCTATTTCTCCCCTAACATCCTGGAGCTGTGGCACACAGGATTAGGCTGCCGCTCGAGACACCAGCATTCCACATCCTGCAGTGCTTGTTACTCAGCTTCTAATACAGCTTCTTACTAATGTGTCTGGGAAGGTAACAGATGACAGCCCAGGTACTAGGGTCCCCACCACCCAGGAGGGAGACCACAGTGGAGATCCTGGATCTTGACTTCCACCTGGCCCAGACCTGGCTGTTACGGCCACTTGGGGAGTAAACCAGCAGATGACGATTTCTCTCTCTTGCTCTCACTTTGCTCTTACTTTCAAATAAGTAATTTAATAATTGTGGGGAAAAAAAGAATCCACACTGGTTACACGTAGCTGTCCAGTCTTTTTTATCTTTTAAAATCTGAAACACATCTAGTAACATTTTCTGGAATGCTGCACTTTTTGAGTGTATGGTGAGTGTCCGGATTTTGTAATCTTCCTTTAAACGGTGCTGGCTTACTTTCCTCTGTGCAGGCACTTAAGTTACTAGTGGATGGGCTTGATGAATTGGAGGCTTGCTTTCTCCTCTGGTTATGGCGGTCTGGGTGATCTCTGCTGAAAGGCTAGGTTAGCCATACTACTGAAGTGTGGCCCTTCTGGGCTCCTTGCTCAACGGCACAGCATTCAACAAGGGCTCCATGACGTGGCTGGTCAGCACGCACAGGCCTCCCAGTGCCACGGGAGCTCCCAGCTCCCTGCTTGTTTTCTGCCCAGCCTCAGAGTTTCAACCTAAACATGTATCAGTTAGTATTTAACAAACACCTCCAAGCAATCTCATGTGGGTTTCTACACTTCTCTCGCCAGAGCTCCTTTCTGGTAGCCTAGCCCTGCACATTCTAGTCTCCTCAGCCTCTCCGAGTCTATCCCGTGAACCAGCAAGAGCGCTGTGCCACTTGGGTTCACTGCCTCTGTGCAGACAGCAGAGGTGAGCACAGGCTCACCTATGCCCCTGCTCCCGGGAACCGCAGCCCAGGGCTGCCCGCAGCATGAGGCTGTTACGCGTCCCTTACGGTCTGCCTAGTGCTTCAGTTGTTTATAGCAGGAGGGCAAATCTCACAAGCAAGCAATGGCCCTGACAGGATACTTCCTTGTTGAACAAAAACTTTCCAATGAGTTCACCTTAATATCTACCTCATCACTCATGCATTCAGTCAACATTGTAAACTCATTAAGTCCTTGCAGACATTGTGAAACAATCCTTGTTAAGGATTTTATGGACTAATTACAGAGAAAAGTCTTCCAACATACATGATCATAAACCACAGGAAATTGTACGGGGTAGAAAGCTATCAATCCCTTAAGACCAACACAACAAACAAACAACAACAACAACAACAACAAACAACCCTGCTTAGTTTAAGAGAGATATCACTTCCAGCTGTAGTGATCAGGGAAGACTCTCAAAGAGAATGTGGCTTTGCACAGGGCAGAAAAGGAGTGCCTGGGGTGGGTAGGCCGTCCCTGGGCCTGCTTGCACGGCCCCCCCCATAGCCCTGCAGAACGCTCGGACCTGGGAAGTCTGTTCCCTAAGAACAGGGCCTGAGGTCCTGGTTCTCTTGTATTCCTCACAGCATCTGAGCAGCTTGCTCAGTAAGTCTGTGCAATTGAATTCTGCAGTCATCCCCAAAAAGTAAGAACTCATTTGTTTGTTTTCTGAGTTTGTGCACTGACCAGCACCAACTGTAACCTTGAGAACAGGACTGAGCACGGAGCAGCGGACAGACTTTTCGTCCGTTATACGTTTCTACATCAGCCCACTGTTTCATATGGAGTGTCTACTGGGTGTGTGTGGGAAAGGGAGGCAGGCAACAGAATGATCCACACAAACACTGTGCTTTGGATGCATCTTTTTTATACCAAATTATAATAAACAAGAATGTCTGAGTTGAGAATCAATTCATCAGTAAGGGCTAAAAGAAAATCTGAGAAGCTTGGTTTTTCATAATTGGAAACATTACCTCTTCCTTGGACAAATGCCTAAATTTTGTTTGATATCGACTCAGTTCTACATTCAAACGATGGATGGTCATTTTCAACCCGTCATTTTCATCCACCAATTCTTGAGCTTGTTTCCTTAGATAAAGTAATTCAGGTTCAGCAACTACCGAAAAAAATAAAGTTAATATTATAAGAAATTTATGAAAATTTTGTATAATTGCTAATCATTATAGGCTTGTATAGGCAGTGAAATGTGTGTGATAAATAGTTACTAACATTGAATAGTTAATTGTTTTTAAAGTTTTTACATGTATAACAATGTAAAATAAAATTTTAAATTGAAAAGAAATAGCCATTGTTTCACATGATAGAAAAACATATGCATTGGGGATCAGCACTGTGGTGTAGCAGATAAAGCAGCTGCCTGCAGTGCCGGCATCCCACATGGGTGACGCTTCGAGGCAGGCTGTTCCACTTCCGATCCAGCTCTCTGCTATGGCCTGAGAAAGCAGAAGATGGCCCAAGTCCTTGGGGCCCTGCACCCATGTAGGAGACCCAGAAGAAACTCCTGGCTCCTGGCTTCAGATCCGTTCAGCTCTGGCCATTGCAGCCATTTGGGGAGCAAGCCAAAGGATGGAAGATTTCTCTCTACCTCTGCCTCTCTGTAATTCTGCCTTTAAAATAAATAAATAAATCTTAAAAAAAAAAAAAAAAAAAAAAAAGGAAGAAGAAGAAAAGAAAGAAAGAAAAATATTTGCCTCGAAAAATCACAGGCTGGCGTTGTGGCGTAGTGGGTAAAGCTGCTGCCCGCAGTGCCAGGATCCTATACGGGCACTGGTTCATGTCCTGGCTGCTCCACTTCCCATCCAGCTCTCTGCGATGGCCTGGGAAAGCAGTGGAGGATGGCCCAAGTCCTTGGGCCCCTGCACCTGTGTGGGAGACCAGGAGGAAGCTCCTGGCTCCTGGCTCTGGATGGGCACAGCTCCGGCCATTGCAGCCATTTGGGGAGTGAACCAGTGGATGGAAGACCTCTCTCTCTGCCTCTGCCTCTCTGTGACTCTATCTTTCAAATAAATGAGTCTTCAAAAATAAAATCATATAGGGCAGGCACCGCGCCTCAATAGGCTAATCCTCTGCCTTGCAGCGCCGGCACACCGGGTTCTAGTCCTGGTTGGGGCGCTAGATTCTGTCCCGGTTGCCCCTCTTCCAGGCCAGCTCTCTGCTGTGGCCCGGGAGTGCAGTGGAGGATGACCCAAGTCCTTGGGCCCTGCACCCAATGGGAGACCAGGAGAAACACCTGGCTCCTGGCTTTGGATCAGTGTGGTTCGCCAGCCGCAGCACGCCGGCCACAGCGGCCATTGGAGGGTGAACCAACAGTAAAGGAAGACCCTTCTCTCTGTCTCTCTCTCTCACTGTCCACTCTACCTGTCAAAAAATAAAATAAAATAAAATCACATAAAATCACATAAAATGGAAATTTTAGAACTTATAATCTTCCCAAATAATAGCAATGTCCTATTAGAAAAAATAATAGTAAACAGATTCCACAGGGTAACAGCACAAATAACAGTAGGTATCTAGAAATAAATGTGCCTAAGACAAGAAAGATGCAGGGTCTACATGAAGAAAACTTGGGTCATAATATTAGTCTTACAGAAATATTAAAAAAATTGGTGAATATTTTATATAAGCTTAGAGTTAAAAAATGATTTAACACCAAGGTATAAAGTAACAAAAGAAAAAATCCTATAGATTTAGTTGTATTATCATTAAACTAATAAAATATTACATATGTTGACAAATGACTAAAATCTTCAGTATATAAAAAGTTCCCACAAATCAATAAGAAAAACCTGAAGTATATAAATTTAAGGGTAGAAAATTTATGAAACAGAAAGAAAATGTCCTGTAAGGATATGAAAAAAATTCAAACTCATCAATAATAAAAGAAATACAAACTAAAATATAATTTCTCTTTGTGCTTATCAAATTAGCAAGGAAAATGCTGGTTAGTATGTGGTAAAAGAGACACTTTTATATGATGCTCACAGGGATAAAAACTGACATGAGATATATGTAAGACATTATGCTGGGAAGGGCATTTAGAACAGCAGTTAACACGCCACTTGGGATGCCTGCATCCCATATCAGAGTTTCTGGTTCAAGTCCTAGCTCCTCTGCTTCCAACCTAGCTTCCTGCTAATATGCACCTGGGAGGCAGGCATGGGTTAAGTTAACATGATGGGTTAAGTATTTGGGTCCCTGCCACCCCTGCCACCCACACGGGAGACCCAGATTGTGTTCTGGAGGCTCCTGGCTTCATCCTGGTTCAGCCCCAGCCTATGGTATGGGCATTTGGCAAGTGAACCAATGGATAGAAGATTTCTCTGTGTGTCTCTTTCTCACTTTACAGTAAAATTATTAAAATAAAAATTTTTTTTAAATGTTTAAAAGGTGCTATGCCAAGCATCAAGTTCCAAGAGAAGTATCAGCATTTCTTTAGCTAAACAATAGTAATGACATAGCAGATGAAACCAAAATTCAAAAAGCAGAATATTAACGAAAGAATCTTCAACAGCACATATAAAATAACAATATGTACAACATACAATGTCAACGCTGCAATACTAAAAGGAGTGAAGTTTTATGTATTCCTTAGGAATGAAAGAACCGTGCACCTGGCCCACCTTCCTGAGAGGACGCCTTCTCAGCTTCCTTCAGCTTACAGGTGTCGTCTTCCAGTCTCTTGCATTTTAAATGCAGTTCTCTCATCGCTTCTTTCATTACATGTAGTTCAAGGGTAAGTTCTTGATTTTTATTGTTCAGGAGCAAATTTTCTTCGTTTAATTCCTTGAACTTTTCTCGGGCTTTTTTTTCACATATTTGACGTGCTCTACCAGTTATATCTGAGATGATATGAGAGAAAGCTTTAACATATTAATTGACACTTATACCTCTACATCATAATCTCCTAAGGCTTCATTACACAAACCATGTGAGCATCTACTTCCTATCAGGCCTGGTGCTGTGGTCTTCTATCCCTGGAAAGGGAATGGCTGCCCAGGAAAAGGCATCTGCATGGCTAGCACACATGCAGGATCCCAGAGCAGGGAGGGTGCTGAGGCCGCACTGCCACGGGAGAGGCAAGGTCCTACACAGGTGCAGGCTGGCAGGCAGGCAGGCAGCTGGTGGAAGCATGTGCACCACGCTCCTTTACTACACTGTAGGAGCTAGCCCCTGGGGCACGCTGCTGTGCTTGCACACCTTAGCCGGCCTTGTGATGACCGCAACTTTATGGGTGGAAAGTGGGGCCAGTTAGGCTGCCAGGTGGGTAGTGTCCTTCTGAGGGTGAGAGGGAGGTCGGAATGGAAGGGTGAGACTCAATATGGTGTCACTATGGCTTGCTGTCACAGGCAGAGGTGTGAGAACTGGAAGAATGGATTGCAATGAGACCCAACTGAGAGGCTTCAAGGGTCAACACTGGAGTGGAGACAGAGAGGAAAGGAAGTATGACAGAAGGTCAGCAGATAACGCCTGACAGGGCTCAGGACTAGGTTGGTGTGGGAAGCAAAGGGGGAGCAATTCAAGAATGACCACTGTCAAGATAAAAATTATAGGAAGGGGCCAGCGCTGTGGTGTAGCAGGTAAAGCCGTGCCTGCAGTGCCAGCATCCCATACAGGTGCCAGTTCAAGTCCCAGCTGCTCCACTTCTGGTCTAGTTCTCTGCTTCGGCCTGGGAAAGCAGAAGATGGCCCAAGTCTTTGGGCCCCTGCACCTGCACGGGAAGAGCCAGAGGAAGCTCCTGGCTGCTGGCTTCAGATCAGCGCAGCTCCAGCCACTACAGCCAACTGGGGAGTAATCCAGCGATGAAAGACTTCCCTCTGCTTCTCCTTCTCTCTCTAACTCTTTCAAATAAATAAATGAATCTTTTAAAAAAATTATAGGAGGCCACTGTTTTGGACTAAGCTCCTAGAGTATGAGCAGACTAAACATGAAAGTGGGGTTTCAACTGAGCAAGCTGTTATCTGACCTCAGGGAGGAGAAAGAGACAATAACCAGATTTCTCAAACAGGCCTGACAATCTCTAATCCTTATGAAAACAGCCCGACCTTAACTAATCAGTTAACTTTCCTATTGTTCTGTCTCCCTGGCCCTGCCTTCCAAGGACAGTAACTTACAATTGTTTCTGCTTTCTTCAGTCCTCTTCTGTCCATAAAGCCAAACTCTTCTGCTCAGCTCACTGGAACCCTCATTCTATTTTTTTACACTTGATCTTAGCCAAAAGGCCGAGAAGCACTCTATTTTTTTAGAATGAAGTACTGCCCCATTCTCCAATCATTAATACAGCCACTTAAGATTTTTAGTTAAAGGTGTTGTAATTTGGTCCTTTGACACTGACCCTGACAAGGAACACAAAGTGAAGGAGAAGAGTGGGGATGGAAAGGAGAGGGGCAGGTGACTCGGGTTACGATGTGGGCCCAGAGCTCCAAGGACAACCTCAGCTGGAGAGAGTGAGGAGCTGTCAGCACCAGAAGAGAAACAGAGTCAGAAAGGATTTGAAGAAGGAATTGATGCTATTGCACACCCTGGAAGGCAGCTGCTGATGGCCTAAGTACTTGGGTCCCCACCATCCACTTGGGAGACCCAGATTGAGTTTTGGGCTCCTGACTTTAGCCTGGCTCCACCCCAGCTCTTGTTGGTGTTTGGGAAGTCAACTATCTCTCTCTGCCTTTCAAATAAATTAAAAAAAAAAAAATAAGAGGCCAGCGCTATGGCACAGTGGGTTAAACTGCCACCTGCAGTGCTGACATCCCATACGCAAGTGAGTTTGAGTCCCAGCTGTTCTATTTCCAATCCAGCTCCCTGCTAATGCACCTGGGAAAGCAGCAGAGGATGGCACAAGTACTTGGGCCCCTGCACCCAGGTGGGAGTCTTGGATGAAGTTCCTGGCCTGGCTCCTGGCTATGGCCTGGCCATGCTCTGGCCACTGGGGCCATTTGGGGAGTGAACCAAAGATGGAAGACTTCTCTCCCTGACTCTGCCTCTCTCTCTGTGTAACTCTGCCTTTCAAATAAATAAATCCTTTAAAAAATTTTTAAAGAAGGAATAGCAATAAAAGTTGGAGGACAACAGAGATAGGTATTCTATGGAGAGACACTCATTCTAAATATGGGGTAAAATAGCTAGTTGAGTGGGAGGTCACAAACCACATGGCCCTGCCCTCTGCAATTCTATCCTATTTGTCTGTCAGACCATTTCCAAGGATACCCTATTTTAATCTGGGACCTGAGGAAGGGCTGCCATGTAAAAATGTATATTAAGCTCCACGTGGAATTTCAGGGAGGTGTCATAAACTCCCAGGTGATGACACTACCTCATAAAAGAAGGCACTGGAACGTGCTTGCTCTCTTCCAAAGAGAGAAGGTGTTGAGGGTGTCCCTCCTTCTCTACTTCCTTTCCCTCATCCCTTTCTATCTTTGGCCCACTCTAACTATGCCTGTGTGTGTGTTTGCTTTCTTACCTTCTGAATAAACTTTATCACCTTGTGCACTATATATGTGCCTGTGCTTGAAATACTTTTTAAGTAAAAGGTAAGGACCTAGATTAATAAAATTAAACCCTACTTCTCCCACATCAAAAGGAGGGCACAGCTCCCAGTAGAGGTAGAGGCAGATGTCCCATGAACAGACAAGAGTGGGAGAGCTGGGGGCTTCAGAGAGCCTCTCCTGACACAGCACACATATACCCAATCCCTAGAACATGAAAGGAGAGGCTAAGAAATGGGTAATCCCACAGCTACACTGGACACAAGAACGGCACCACAAGGAATTCCAGAGGGAAAACAGAGGAGATTAGATTGAAGACAAAGCCATGGCCTACAAATTATAAGAGGTGAGTCACAAAAAGGGGAGGGGGTTGCAGGGATACACCTTGACCTGGTAGGAGCAGTGACACTACACAGCCTGCAAAGAGCTGAGGCAGGGCTAGTTACAGCACAAGAGCAGAAGTAGCAAGGGAATCACCTCCCTGGGCCAGGCAGCACCAGTAAAATGTGCGCCCCTCCCCAGGCAGGACATTCAGAATCTGAGGTCAGAGATGCAAGGTAGGTCAGGGGTCTGCAGCAGCCCAGGAGGAAGAGAGGGACCCCACATCACCTGGCTGATTGCACATCCTGCCCCTGCCTGTCAGTCACAGGAGACAAGCTGTACACCAGGCAGTCTGGCTGGTCTCCCCTCTCCAAGCAGCCTGTAGTGGACACACAACATCCTAGACAGGCCTCTAGGGACCAGCATGTGCCTACACCACAAAGCATCAAGTAACTGAGCCAAGAGATGCACCAAAGTCAAACAAGAAAGGAAAGAGGGGCTGCAGCCCAGACAGTAACACCGGAATGAGTGTAGTAGGATTCTCAGAGATGCAAGGCAGTATCGCACCAGAGTCAACATTCTGATTAATAACATAAATTCAAGTCATGGGCTAGACAGCAGAATACCTGTAACGTAGAATGGACCTAACCTATGGACCAGAAGCCAGAGTTCTGGCAGTCTCCCAGAGTACGGCCCTGAAGATGTTGAGACAGAGGGTGAAAATCACTCCAATCTGACCTGGAGGATGAACAGTGAGGGTATAGACAGGGTTTGGGTTTGTCTCTCAAAGGCTCATGTGACAGAGACAGAGGCGTGTCCCCCAGTGTGATCATATGAAAAGGTGGTGGGGCCTTTAAGCGGTGACGGGGCCGGGGGGAGGCGGGGGGCTGTAGTCTTGCAAGCGATCTAGAGAATTCTTACAGGAGCCCCAGTGAGTTCCTGCGAGAGCGAGCTGTTACAGACAGAAGAGTGAGCCTGACCGCAGAAGCCCTCTCTGATGTCCTGTTTCACCGTGTGATTCCTCTCACACACGTCCCCCGCTCCCACCCCCTCACATGCTGCCTGCCACATAGCCCTGACCAGAGGTTGAACAAAGCAGGCCACTTGACTTTAGACTGTTATCCTCCAAAACTATGAGCTAAATCAGCCTCTTTGCTTTATATGTGATCCAGGCTCAGGTATTCTGTTATAGCAACAGACTCAGACTGGGATTTTCAGATTGGTGATATGAAACACAACAGCCAAACACTGCAAAAATCCACTGTGGAAGATACTAAAGTGCTCCAAATTACACCCAGAGTGTACCCCAGAAAGGACCTCAACACCTCTCCCTTGGCCTTCAGTCCCTGAGCAGAGCCCTTGTTTGTGCCACTCATCCCTAGGGGATACACACACACACACACACACACACACACACACCCCACTCAGGGTCTGGACCCTCCTTGTGAGGAAAAGACAGAAGTTCAATACTTAATACCTCTTCCCAATTCCAACAACAGGGCACAGAAGCAGCAGCATTTACAGGAAAAACCTTGAGTTTCATCTTCAGCTCAGAGGGTCTGAGTGTTCTCTAAAACAGTAAGCTTTTCGGGGCAGGCATTGTAGCACAGCAGGTAAAGCCTGGGATACCGGCATCCCACGTGGGTGCCGGTTCATGTGCCAGAGGCTCGCTTCTGATCCAGGTCCCTACTGATGGCCTGGGGAAAGCACTGGAAGATGGCCCAGCTGTTCGGGCCTCCGCCACCCACATGGGAGACTCAGATGAAGCTCCTGCTTCGCCCTGGCCATTAAGGCCATCTGAGGAGTGAACCAGAGGATGGAAGATCTTTCTATTTCTCCCTTTCTCTGTAACTCTTTCACATAAATAAATTTTTTTTTTTTTTAAAGTAAGCTCTTCAATCATAACAACATTCAAAAGGCCAAGACCGGGGGAGGGTGAAAGCTTTTCACACAACAACGTCTCTTCATCCTAGGGAAGCAAAAACGCAAGAGTATGAGCACAGAGCTTCCCATCTCCCAAAAGTGGACACGGGCAACTG